CAGAAGGAAGAGAGGCTTACTAGAGACTGCTAGAACGCTGTGTGGGGAGACCTTAGACCAAACTTTTCATGGGTGGGGAGAAGTGTCCAATCATGTGGAAATTTCTCCGACTGCTTCAGTGCTAGGCAATATTTGTCCTGAACTGGCATTTACTGGGAGCTATGGATACAGTCCACAGAAGTACCCAAGGTCCTGAAGGGCAATATGGAAAATATGCTATCACAAAAATGTGCATGCATTTGAGATCTCCAGATCTCTTCCCCAGACAAGATGTTACAAAACAAGGTAGTGGAGAGGGAGAGAAAAACACTGACTTGATACTGTATTAATGGCATCACAATCACAATCTTGACCTGGAATGCAGGAGAAAGGAGTGGGCAACATGTGGCCCTCTAGATATGGATACCTCCCATCAGCCCTGCTAGTGAGTGTAGACAGCGATGAGGGATGGTGGGAGTTGTAAACCAGAACATCTGAAAGGCCCTGATTTGCCTATGCCTAATTTAGCAGTGATACAACAGCTTCAGGGTTCACCTGGAGCAGCCCCTGGGGTGAAGAAATGCAGTTAAGTTTGATCCTTCATTTAAAAAATAAATGGAAAGTATAGAAACCTGCATGCAATTTATGTGTGCAAATCCCTTGGTCTAACAGGGAAGCACAAACTGGCTGTTCAGTGACACTTCTTCACCCCATTGTTGGTCATCCCTGATAGGAGAGAAGAAGTCAACCTGGGATCACTGATGCTGTTGCTAGAGTCTATGGATGGTGCTGCATTGCTGATGGGTTCATAGATCACAAATTTATCCCACTAAGATAGAAACGAGAATGAAAGACTAAAACCCACTTTTCATGGATTTCTTTATTGTGCGTTCATTTCTCCAGTCTACAGATCCTTCCAGAATGTAGATATTCCTCCTGGAAGGGGTACTTTGGTTCTAGCCTAGCCATGTCACTTTTGCCTTGTCTCCCCACACGTTGTTCAGTCAGCACCACAACCAGCTTAGCCGCTGCCCAGCTAATTCTTGCTCTTCCCCAGCAGTAGCACATTCTCACCATTCCTTGGCGCATCATCCAGTTAGTGATCGGGGCTCCATCAGTGGAAGCACCTGGTTCCGGCTAATTAAGAGAGAGTTTGCTTTGAAAGCAGCCTCAAAATATGGGAGGGCAGGACGGGAAGAAATACAGGGACCTAGTGGGATGCAATTTTCATGAATGCAGCAGGAAGGGGAGCTCCCACAACTACCAATAAAAGAGCTGGAAAATTCCCACCTGCCATTTTTGAAGATGCTAATGGGATAAATGGAGACCTTATGCCATGCTTATAATTCAAGATCACAAGAAATGATTCCAGGGTATCCTTCTCCGAGTTAGTGCCCTCCAGATGTTTTGGACTACAGCTCCTATCATGCCATGCTGGTGAAGGCTGATGGGAGCTTTATTTCAAAACATCTGGAGGCACCATGGGTGCTTCCAGACAGAGTGTTCTAGCACTGTCAGAAGGCACTGTGCAGCTATTCCGCTTTTTTATCAACAATGGATCCTCTGCAGGATGGAAGAAGTGTCTGCAGTGCCCATAAAACTCCATGAAAGAAGCAGGGTGACTGTATATGAAAAGTGTCATTTGGAAGCACCCTTGGTGGACAAGGCTGCTGGATTGAAAGCATGATTCAGATGAACTCTGTCTGAAGTCAGTCTGGCCTCAAGGAGATGATATGCAACTGTGAAACAGAACTGCTCCACTACCTTGACTCTATTAGCTTCTGGATAGAACCACGAGAGTCTTTGGCTTGCAGTATTACCGCAATACTAGAAACATAGAAACAGAGCGAGTCAGAAGGGGCCTCCTGGGCCATCTAGTCTGACCTCTGGCACCAGCCGGCTCCGCTCACGACATGCCCACCATGTGCATGTCCAGCCTATCCTTGAACACCCACACCGATGGGGCCTCATACTCTACTGTGTTTCTGCTGCTTGCTTATTAGTATTTGGTTACATGTTTTATTGCTTTACATCTTGATTTCTTTTATAATTTCTGGTACTACTATTGGTTTTACTGATGTGTATTATAAATCCAAAATGTTTTTGAAACAAGCTATTACTATTATTTATATTTTTATACTCTGTAACTTAGTGAGGATGGTGGTAAAAAATTTCTCCCTGTGGGCTGAATTTTAATGAACTGTGAGATGTACTGATGCTTACTGCTTTTCTTGCTGTGCATTACTGTCACTATTATTGATTTGTGTATTTTACTTGGTTCTGTACACTAACTTGAGAACAATTCTGTGGAAAGGAGGTATACAGATAAATTGACTGACTGAAATCCTTCGCATCTCGAGTGGGTTGAGGCATGTCCTGTCACTGTGGAAACTACACTCAGGTAGCCACTCACCGCTCCTGTATTTTGTTGCCTGGCATCCAGAGCTCCAGCTAGTCCTTTCTTGGCTAGAGGATCTTCATATTTCACCCTGAAAGAGAGAACTAGTTAAAGGGAGCACAAACAAGCAGAGAGGCTATGGAAGATTGATAGGCAGGCCGGCATCCCGTTTGAAACCACAGAAACAATAATTCATATCCTTGAGGGTCCTGCTATTACTATGTATATGGGATTATTGTTTAAATCATGCCACAGAAACATGTATGTTCAGCATCTGAAATTTGCTGAACATACACATGCTCATTTTGACAATAGGGTCAAAGCTGAAAACAAAGGAGCAGGATTTTGCAAGAATTTCAATATCAAAAGGATCCTCCCCTCACCAATTTTTTAAGGTTGATGCAAAAGTGAAAGCATGATACCTAACTGGCTAGGATAGCCGATCAGAGCAGTCTAGGAAGCACTGACCTTACTCTTTTCAAGCATTCACAAAATGAGTAAGAGATTGGCAAAGACATGGAAATAACAACTTCCAGCAAATTCTGGCATTCATATATTTTGGGATACTTCTTTACCTTCTGGTCAGTGTTTTCTAGGTGGAGCCCATTCTAGCTTGGGAAACTGCACCTTACTGATGTTCCTGGCATAGTTATAAGGCCTGGGCATAATGTCATGAATTTGTAAACCCAGCTGTTCACAAAGGTTATAATTAACTGTGAGCACTCCTGGACAAAAGCTGGTGAATAATCTAAATAAATACAACCGATGAACATTATGGCTGAGCTACGACTTTAAGCATGGCTTTCCAATAGCTGGGAAACCGAATACCTTTTCCAAAAATACCACACTGGGTCACACATTTACACAGCCTATCAGAGGCTTCTCCAACTTGTACCCACCAGAAGATGCCTGGGAATGATGGAAGTTGTAGTTCATGTCATCTGGAAGTCAGCTGGGTTGTAAAGGTTAGTCTACCATGATAAGACTGCACCCTATTCCATTATGGCTTCAGTGGAATTGGTCACAGACTTTGCCAATGAGATCTAGCAGAGTTATCCTGGGTGCGAATCCAGGCTTGGACATGCCTCAACTAGTTCTGGATGGGTAATCTCCTTACAGATCTAGTTCTCCAACTGTAATTTAAGTAGCGACTTACTCAAGGGTTTAGAGTAAGATCAAATTAGATAAAGAACTGTGTTTATCCTGAATCTTTGAGACAGTTTATAAATAAAAATTATTTCAAATGCATGTTAGGCTAGTCAAGTCCATACACATATCCAGCATTTTAAAATGCATCATATATTCAGTGCTATGTGTCCTCTAAGCTAGCTTTTAAAAATAAATAAAAATCTGTGCCCCAGCATTCCAAATTCTGTGCCACAAGTGTAATTTCTGCAGCCTGCATACGGTACATCATGCAAATAAAGCATCTTTGCATGGTTGCTCTTATTTTGCACAGTATACCGTGTAATATTTACAATGCTGCATCATGTATTTTAGTATTTCTAATTGTGGGGAAGGGGAAGAAAAGTACAGAGGACAGTGAAGCCTCGTACCCGATCATTAGAAAACTGATTCAGCCACATCTCTGCTCTCTCAGATTTCTGCAAATGATGCATTTGAGCACTGTTTTATAGGCAGAGGGGCTAGACACATGCCTTTTATTTTAAATGGCAGACTGGATTCTCAAGAGAGCTGAATTCTACACTTGATACCACTGTTTACATTCCAAAGTTCTCCATTTACAGCTGTTCTACCTAAGCACCAGACCCTAATCTTCATTCTATATCTCGCATTTCTCTGCTTCCGGAGGAACTTACTGAGGGGTGCAGCTTGACATGGGCAGATATATTTACTCAGAAATAAACTGCATGCGGGGCTGTAACAGTACCTTTTCATCCAAAGAGCATCTGACATGCTTGCACCCATACACACCAGTGGCGCCATTTCCCACCTCAGAAAACTTACTCTCGAGTCCACCCCGCTTTCGCCCTCACCCACTCATCTATGCCAATGATTTCTTACACAGGCAGGCCAAGCTCCCCTTGGATGAGGACGTCCCCGCAGTGAGCTCCCCAAGCCATGTCTCTGCCCCTCCCACAGTCACTGGGAAGTGTTCCCTCTCGGGGCCAAGGGATTGGGCCACTTTTGCTCAAACTTCTGAAAGAAATGCTTGTCGGTGAAAGGCCCGCTGTGTATGATGGCATCAAGGAGGACAAAGAGGGCTGCCACCATGCCGCTGATGAGGCAGAAGGGCAGGAAGGGTTTGAAGTGTTGCCAGAAGTTCTGCACACAGATGTTCATGGGGGATCCAGGAAAAAGCCCAGCTCCTGTGGTGGCCTGCGGAAGGAGTCTTGATCTGAGCAGTCAAAGCACGGGAAAAAGAAGGTGAAAGCGTGTGTTGGGGGATCTCAAAGAGCTCGTCTCGAGCTGGCTTACCAGCAAAAAATCAAAGGAGGAGGGATCTAGTCCAGTTCACGCATGAAGAATAAATAGAAGGTGATCTAAAGAAGGACCTGTTTGTCGGAAAAATCGCACCCGCTTCTCAGTCAGAGGAGGATCAGATTGTGCTGAAGAAGATATGCTGCTTGCTTCCTTTGTAGCTATCCTGGGGTAGGAGGAGAGCGGCTAAGGAATGCATCAAGAGGTTGGGTTTCAGCACAGAATCAGCTGCTTCTCTCTCCCTCTGACTCCTTTTTATACTGATCTTCTCCATGCTGGGATGGCAACAAGCGACTTGCCGAGAGCACCCTTCATGTAGCTCAAAGCCTCTGTACTCTTTGTGCTCCCTTCAGTGGGTACAGCAACTCAGCTCTTTGAGAAGGCAATTTCTGAATCAGCCAGGCTGAGAAGCCAATCTCTGCATTATAAGCCTTTTGGCACTTGCAAGAACAAAGCCAGGGATGTCTGGAAGCGTGCTGGCACTTAACTTCATTTGCTAAGTGTTTGGGGGTGGTGGGGCACATTTCCTGCTCAAGCATAACCTCACATGCCAATCAGAAATGTCTGCAAGGAGCTGGAGGTTGACCCAGGAATGATCACACTATCTGTAGATTAACAGTGCTTGCATTTATGTGACACTTTTTGAGCATGCAAAGGGCTTCACATAATACTCACAGTAAACCCTGAACCAGCCATCCTGCAAGATAGGTCAGTGCCATTATCACATCCAGATTAGATATTTAGGACCAGGAGGAGGCACACGGAAGTATGGCTGAGAGCCTATGGCTGACTTACAGTCACCTGGGGAAGCATGGCTGAGGTGAGATTTGCACCTGATACGCCAGGCTGAAGCAGACTTCCCATGTTTCTGTTGCAGTCATAAGAAAATGGAGGGGAAGGGGATTATCTATTTTTTCAGGGGATGGATTGTTGCAAAATGGGGAGCACCACCTTCTTGAATTAGTGGCAGCAGTTCATCTCTTCATAACCACTGGCTGACATGTTCCCCTCCAAGCACCTTCTGTATGATGCCACATGTGATTCAGTGTTGCCCAAGGAGAATGTATTACGCCAGTCTTATTCCAGCTACACTGGCTACCAGCTGAAGTTGAGAGCCGGTGTGGTGTAGTGGTTAAGAGCATGGGACTGGGACTCAGGCGATCCAGGTTTGAGTCCCCGCTCGGCCATGGAGCCAACTGGGTGACTTTGGGCCAGTCACAGACTCTCAGCCCAACCTACCTCACAGGGTTGTTGTTGTGGGGATAAGATGGAGGAGGAGCATGATGTAAGCTGCCTTGAGCCCTTTGTAGGAAAAAGGCAGGATATAAATCAGAAAAAGAAATAAGAAAAAAAGCCCAGGCCCAGTTCAAAGTGCTAGTACTAACATTCAAAGCCCTAAATGACTTGGGGCCAGGTTATCATCCCATGTGTCTCTACCCAAGCCCTGAGGCCATCTTCTGGGATCCTTTCTCCAGGAGCCTCTTCCAAAAGAAACGAGGCAGTTGGCTACCAGGAGGAGGGCCTTTTTGGTTGTGGCACCCTGGGATGAGCGCCTCCAAGAGGTGTGCCTGGTGCCTATTTTGCATTCTTTTTGGTGCGAGATGAAGATTTTTTATTCTCCCAGCATTTTAACAGTTTAACTTTTTAACATCATTGTTAATATTGCATTTTATTCTGTACTGCTGATATGCTCCCCTGCTGATTCAATTGCAATTGCATGTGTGTTTGTGTATGCATTTTAGTTTTTAAATATTCTTGAATATTTGTTAACAGCCCAGAGAGCCTCAGATATTGGACAGTATAAAAATTAAATGTATAAATAAATAAGGAGAGACAGGGTGTTCTGGAAAAAATGGCACCAGTATTGTATTGCCCTCAGTAGCTAACAGTTTCCCCAGGACAATTCTTCCCCACCTTACCAAAGACAAAAACACTGACTGGATTCAGACAACCTAGGCTACATGTAGGTAGTTGCTGAACCATGGATTGATGTCCAACTATGGGTTATCAATTTGTCTGAACCTAACTGTGCTAAAAGGCTGCCACTTCTTAACCATGAACAACCCATGAAAAGAACCCAATGTTTGCTGTTGGATTGTGAACTGTGGGGTTGTTCACCATGGTTTGTCATGTCAGATGAGTTCAGACAACACGATAATCTACATTTCAACAACCACCAAGGGTTTTTTTTTTCCAAAAAACATTTGGTCCACCATTATGATGTTAGCTCACAGGAATAGGCAACTGCTGTCTGCTGACCAAAGGTCATGCTGGATGAGTCTGATGGTTACTGTAGTCCAAAACAATCTGGAGGGCACCAAGTTGTCTAATCCCATACATCAGCTCTCTCAAATTCTGGATTCACGTAAGTAGGACAGCAGACGCAAGCAAGGTGTGTGAACTAAGGTGTAAAACAGCACTGTACCATGTAGGGAAACCAAACTTCAGGAAAATTCATTCCCAGACAAAATTAGAATGTGCCAAACAAATATGGTAGCTTCTTATGTGCAAGAGATCTGTTTTCCAAAGACAACAGTAGGGTAATATTCTGACTATCTTCCCTCAGAGAAGCACTACCACATAAACTAGGTGCTTTATGAGAGGTTCACCTCCATCTGCAGGCTGCCAGCATGAGAAGCAGAGCATTAAACTAGCTACCACATTGGAAATTCCCCTCCTATACTGACCAGTATTCCATAGAACAGTGATACATAGCTCTGCTTTGGCCCATTCTGTTACAAATAAATTATCCAATTTCACTGCTGCTACAGTCTCTGCAGGCCATTAGAAAATGGAAACAAGCCATGAAGGAAAAGAGAATGGAGGAAAGAGTTATGTACTAATGAAAGCTCAAGTTTGTTTTCAGTAGTTCTGGGAAGAACATAAAGCGTCTTCTTAGTGATCAGATATTGGGCCAATATGCACGAACAAGCAAGCACTGTGTTCAAAACAAGTCACCAGAACTTACTTAAATCTGGGCATGCTATGATTTCCAAATCATCTGCCAAGACACAGCTTGTTGTGCTCTCCATCCCTGAATGGCATGACTTGTTTGAAGGAACAACAACCCTCACATAACCCAATAATAAGCCTTGAGTCATTTGAAGGATATCTCCCCCTCAAACAAGCCATGCACCTTGTTGCACCAATACAACAAGCTGTGCCTGGGCAGGGAATTAGGGAAATGGTGCTTGGCATGACAAGCTGCAGAACCTGGGCCTCTGTTTGTTTATGGCATAGACAGTCTGCTTTGGATTTTCAAAGTCCATCATCAAGCAAGCCTCAAATTGGGCAATCCAAAGAGGGCTACTAATATGACAAAGAGCCTACTTGCAGGCTTCCTCAACCAGGTGCCTTCTATATATTTTGGGATTCAATGCCCATCAGCCCAAGAAGACATGGCCAATGGACAAGAATACTGGGAATCTTAGTCGAAAACATCTGGAAGGCACCGTGTTGGGGATGACCTATCATTAAAAAAGTAAACAGATGCCAACAAAAGATGAGTGACATGCACATGGCCTTCTCTCTCACTCCCCAAACTGGGCACAAGTCGGCTGTGCTAAGACACACTGGAAAATCCAGTATCTAATAAAACAGACTAGAAATAAAGCCATCTGTTTTCAAAGTGCCCTGGGCTGGCACTGAAGGCTTTAGGGGCTTCAGCTTCACCCGCAGTATGCTAGATGGCTTACTACTTGAGTTAATAGGGATTGTTTACTAAATTGCTTCTCCATCTTACAAGCACCCTTGAGTTGAGTTTCATGCTTGCTCTTTTTCTCTGCTTGTGGCACATTCAATTTAGGACCCAGCAACTTCCATAAGCATATGGAAACTTCTAAACAGGCAGAGGGCCACAGACTTCTGTTGAATATGGATTGCACTTAAACAACAAACTAACTGAAATCAAAATTGTACATGGATATAAACCAGATTTTACACAACAGTTGAATTACACTTTAAATCATAGGAAAATGTATCTAATTTGGAATAAATTATTCTGCAATTTCACCAGTTTGCCTAATCTATTCCAGCAGGCACTGCCACTCACTCTTTGCGTTGCTCAGCCAGGGAGCTGCCACGGGTCAATGCAAACATGTCAAACTCTTCTTCCAGTTTGCCAGAATTGTTGAGGGACATCAGTCCTGCACTGACACTGCCAGAACCCAGATCTGTAAGCCAAAAGAGGCAGCAGCAAGATAACGTCCCACAATGTCAGGAATGTATTATCATACCGTAAGAAACAACTGTGATAAAAGCAGCTCTGAGATCTTTCGGCCTCATCTCAGGTAAAAATAACCACACATAAATGTCCACAAACAAATACAAATAACCAGTTGCATGCACATTTTGCAAATCTGCACTACTGACTCTATTGCCCTATATGCACACAATTCTTTAATTTCCAAGATGGAAAACATACAGAAGATGTACAGAGCCAAGGTCCAGAAGCCTCTTCTGTGGTCCTGATTTCATCCTTGGCATTTCCCAGATGGCTGAACCTTCTTCTCTTAGCTTCCCTGCCTTCCTCTCACAGCAAATGATCCTTTAAATTGTTTCCTGGCTTTTGTGCAGATTTCTACCCATCTAAATGGCTCCCTAAGGTTTAGTGACCGGAAGTAAGAGATTTAAGCAAAAATATGCTGGTATTTTGGCTCCAGTCCTTTTGCTTTCAGCCCCACTCACTAGTGGAATGCAGAACCCAAGAGAGGCTTGCAAATGGAATCTGGCACATAGGCTGAAAGAAATTTAAGATGCCTGGAGCAGAGACTCAGGAAAGGTGGGTTGGTGGCCAGTACCATGTGGCTGGGTGCAGGAGGATCAAGAGAAGGAACACAGGTAGATTACTCACTCATTCCCGCGAGTTGAGATGACAGCGTGTTGGGGGCTTCAGGCTCTTTTTCCACTAGTGTAGCATTAGGTTCCACATCAATCAAATTGCTTGCATTGGCTGCACTGTTTTGTTGCTTGGAAGAGAGAGAAAACTGACTTGGATTCTTGTACTATTTTCAATGACCATGGCATTTCTGCAGAAACAGGGTCCTATTTGGGAGGTTATGTGTGTTGAACAGCTTGGGAAATGCAGAACACAACTCATCAAAAAGATGTCTGAGAAATGTGCGGAATGAACAAAAACGCTGCTATGTAAAAGCCACAGGCACTTATCTCACCGTCTGGTCAGGGTATTGATTATTTGATTAACTTTTGGGGAACCTTTGCTATTCACTGGGGGGCCAAGATATGGGCACAGGTCTCCCCTCCATCTCAAGCTACACCTGCTTTAGTTCCACTGAGATCAATGGGTCCTGAATGTTTAATGCTGATCTCAAAATGAAGGGGCAAAATGACTCCAAATCTGTTTGCACCCCATCCATGGGATGATGGGGAGGCGATTACCAAGAAGCTTAAGAGTTCTCAAGAGACATGATTAGGCTTGGCATGTGGCTGGCAACAAAGGAAGTAGCAATTTTCAGCTCCTCGTGTTGCTTTAAAATTTGTTACACTTGCCCTGTTCAATGGTTCTTAATTTCTAAGCCTTGCAGAGCCCTACGCCATGGAGGGCTCTGTGAGTTCAGCCAAATGCAGTTTGCGGAGCGTACAGGTAGTGGTGGAAGATGATCCCTCCACACTTTCAAATTAGGCATTCCTGAATATGGGCACTATCATGGAAAACGGGCAGAACTGCAGAGTTATGATAAATACAGCTATGGTCTAACAGTGAATGAGGAGAATGAGTGGTCCAAGGAACAAAGTAAGCTGCCATATTCACAGTCAAGTTGTTGGTTCATCTCGTTTAGCCATGTCTAAGAGTCTTCCCTAGTTTTCTAGATGTTTTGGATTTCAGTTCCCATCTGCCCCAGTCAGGACTGTCTATGGTCAGGAATGCTGGGATTTGTGCCTCCCCCCACCAAGATGTTCTGGACCACAGGCTGGGGGAAGCTGGTCTAATGGTGACAGGCAGTGATACTCCAGGATTTCAAGCAGGGGACTTTCCTGGCATTATCTGGAAATGCTGCAAACTGAACCTACCTGTTCTACCACTGAGCCACAGCCCTGTCCCTAATCCTAGTGGTAACTGGGATATCCTAAACAAATGGGCCAGGTTTGGGCAATAACTCCAAGCACCTCCCTCCTTCTTCAGCTGGGACATAACCAGAGTGATGGATGGGCCAGAAATGTTAAAATTCTCATGTCTATCAGGACCTGAAGTGCATTCTGAGTCAGATGTCCACAAAGTATGGTTATGGATTTCCACCTGGAAGTGATATGATCAGCACAAGAAATGCTCTCCTTTGACATCCTTAAACCTTACCAACTCTTCTGATGTTGAAATGGCTTCTCCAAGTACAATATTGGATTCCAGCACATAGAGGACTGTAAACCATGGCTCGAATCTATTACCACAGCGTTCTACATTACCCTTTAAGCAATATGAATGACAAAACCTTGTTAGCATGCTTTACAGGAGAAGAGTGTTCAGTCACCTTAGTAGGCTGGCCAGATCGGAGCCGTTCAAACCTATGAGAAAGAGGGAGACAAGCTTCAGTGGGATGCTCTGTGGCTGGTGGGCTACTCTGTTTGCAAGAGGGTGAGGAAAAGAGCAGGAAAAGGGGGAAGGATTTAGGAATACCGTTCATGGCGCAGGAAAATGTTGTTGAGGTTGTCATTGACAATGAGCAGCTCCTCTGTTAGCTGTTCATTGAGGATGCGGGGGATCAGCTCCAGCACACGCTGTTGCATTGCTTTACACGTCCGGTTCAGTTCCTACCCGTGGTAAGAGAATGCAGATTATGAGAACTGAGCCAGGGAATCTCGGTTAAGAAGCAACTGCCAGTCACCTGCTGGGGCTAAAAGCCCATTGTGACTATCCAGGTCATGATCATGATCGATTCTTTCACTGGGATAAGCTCAACCTAGTGCACGGGTCCCCACTGACAACAAACATGTGTTTCAGCCACTTCCTACCTGAAGCAGTTCAAGGTCAGAGGGTTCAGATTGCCCTGGCACTAGCTCAGTTAGCATCTCAGACATCACTTTCACGTTTCCATTCACCACCTCCAGCTCACTCCGCAGTTTTGCAACCTGAAAGCACAAACACAGTTCAGCTGGGTTTGCCAGTCCAACTTTGTTGACCCAGGCTTAGACAGGTGAGCAACCTGTGCCCTACTTCCCTGCCCAGTCTCTCTCTAAGTGATCGCTAAATCATCCTGCTTGGTGTTTCCTGTGAGGAGAAGGAAGAATCTAGCAGGTAGACCACAAGATGCTTGTGCAAGCTGGCCCTTTGCAACCATCTCTGTGGTGGGTGACAGTTTGCGAGACCAGAAGGCTAGAGCAATGTATCGTCCTTAGGATCAATGAACCTCCACCAGACATATTTGTTCTTATTATGTAGATTTATGCACCGCATACAATATTTTCTTAAAAATCTTGAAGCATAGTGAGCACTCTCAAAGCCCTTTGAAAGGAAAGAAGAGCCCTTTAGAAAATACTGGGTTTGCTCTTTCCAGTCAATAAATTTATTAAATATATAAATTCTCCATCAGGTCTGCTCTTTTAAAGGAGATCCCTGCCTGGGTGGACAAGGGGCTGCCCCCTCCCCACTTGATCAAGGAAAGAACAACTTCTGGAAAGTGTGAGTCTAATGAATCTTTGTTTTCAAAGGGAGTCCATGGCATTGTGTGGTGGGTGTGGGTAACACGGAGAGGAAAACATGAATGAGTGGATATATAGAGCATGTGACCTTTTCTGCACGAAGCTTTTATTGTGCACTCGTCATTGCACAATCAGGTTGTCATAACAACAGCTACTACTACTACATTACATTAATATTCTGTCTTTCTTCTTCTTGCAAAGAACTCAAGGTGGATTACAAGGTTCTCCTCCCTTTTAGTTTTACAACAAGAACCCTGTGAGGTGGACTAGGCTGAGAGTGCATGACTGGTCCAAAGTCACCCAGTGCGCTCCATGGCTGAGTGAGGACCAGAACCCAGATCTTCTGAAACCCAGCCCAACACTCTACCCACTGCACCACACTGGCTCTCTTATAAATTACACTGGTAGTTTATGGATGCATTAGATGACAGTTTTGCTTTTATTTTTTACGAGCTCATTCATAGGAGAGTTTGGAGTGGGGAAAATCCGGCATTTATTTTCACTGCTAACATTCTCCCCCACCCGCTGCCCAATCTATACTATTGCAATAGCTTTATTTCTCTGCGTCCCTTTGACTCCTCCTCAGAGGGCTTCTCCTGATAGATATCAGTAGACATCGTGTGTGACTTGGCAGTAAAAAGGTTGCTCAGTTTTGCTTGGAGGATTACTGAGATAAAGTGCTTTAGACGCATGGTTCATGGGACATGAAGGGTGGATCTTCACATCATTTCTTGTCAAATCAGCCTTCCCCAACCTGGTGGGCTCCAGGTGTGTTGGACTCCAACTCCTGCCATTTCCAGCTGGCATGACCACACCTGGAGGTCATCAGCTTGGAGAAATCTACCTTACATTATGGAACCTGCTCTGGAAAATGGGTAAAATACCACTGAGTTTGTCATGCCTCTGCAAAAAAGTGCCTCACAATGGAAATACAGTCCTGTGATGGTTCTTCAACCTGCTTCTTTTCCTTTTAACATATTTACAGTATTTAACCCCCAAACACACACACACTTGAATGCTGTAAATTACCCTAGTTTGTGCCATAGGGGTGATATCAATACTATGGTACAACCAAAGAGAGATAAACACCTCTTTTTTGGAAATGTGATCATTGAAGGAGTGCACTGCTTGTAGACCCTAACCTCAGGAGTAGTATTGGGAAAAGGATTGGGCAAAGCGAACATCAAGAGAAAGCAAAGCCACATGCTACACGGGGCCCAGGTTTTATCCATCAATACCATAATTTTATCCCATGTCCCACTTAAATTTCATCCCAAATGTTACATACAGGGGGATCTTGCATACCCTTGCTAGGCAAAGAGGATCGCTCATATTGCTATTTGTCAATTGTGAAATTGGCCCTTGTGAAAGAAGAGGGGTTGCCAACAGTGAGGCCATCTCTTTTCCATGTGGGGAGTGGCTGCTCCAACAAAGAGCATCTCATCGCTGGGCTGACATTGTTCTTACCTGCTCCGGGGTAGGTGTGATGGGGGCATCGGCAGAGGTGCCTGGAGCTCCTGGTAGAGACACAGGGTGTAAGATAGATTCTATTACTTGAGGGGAGTTTGCTGCTGATGAATTCACTGCTGATGGGGTCTCCGGGTTATATACCGTCTAGAGAAGAAGTCACACAATCGGAGGGAAAGTGGTTTAGTATCAGGTGAAACTGGCAAGGGAAATCTGTACTTAGTCCTACTCAAAGGCTCCATCCAGAAGTTCATCCTTTGCCTACCTGCAGGGGGAATGCAATTCTGCTGGGAGAGAGGTACATGGGGATTGTGTTTCTCTGCAGAAACAGTGATTCTGCTGGAAAACATGCACAGGGATTTACAGGGAAGTGTTTCTCAGCAAATTTGCACTCACTCGCAGCCTGCCAAGCAGCTGTTGTCAGGAATCTGACAATGTGGCCACTTCTGAAGGGCCCCAGACAGAGTAGTGGGGCAGAAATGGTGTCTCCCCAGCCCACTGAAATTGCCCACTTCTAGCAGATTTTCTCATTCTTTTGCCTACCATTGCCCTTATAAAGCTGGACAAACAGCTCATAACCCTGTTCTCCGAACAGCTTCCTAATGTGTCTCTAGAGCTTCCAGCTACAGGTCCAAATTATGTGGCTACAACTAGACTAGGTATAATCCATGTCTCTGCATGTATATTACAGAATTCAGCAAGATGTAGCATGCTTATTTTTTTAAAAAAAATCACTTTCAGAACTGACAGAAATACAACATGTTGTGGTACTAAAGGGAAAAGGGCTAGTTTCTTTTCAGAGGTTAGATACAACCAAATGCACTGAAATCCTTTCAGTGACTGTGAGAAAGGAGTCCTGAGTTTGGCACATCTCTGGCATCCTGTTCACACCAGTGGTAAGGAAGATAAAGAAAATTTTAAAGTCTCCTTTGAAACAAGAATTTATAGATTCTGATGTGCTTACTTAAGCCCTTTCCCCTTTCCAAATTGGAGCCAATACACCTTTCCATGTAGGCCTTATTTCTTCTCACAAGCAGTACCAGTTTGAATTGGGATAATTAAATGAGGAACTAGTGGGTAACATTATTTTGAGTGCAATACTCTGCATCCAGGCCAAGTCTAAGACCTCCTGAGAATGCAGATCTTGCTATCTTTTAGCAAATCGTGCAGAGAAAAAGCCCTATATTGTTATTTATACATGAGAGATGGGCAACTTGTGGCCCTCCACGTTTTTGCAAATAATTCCCATTAACACTTGCCAGCAAAGCTAATGGTGGGGCATGATGGGAGTTGTAGGCCCGTTGTATCAGTTTGAAAACAAAGAGGATGTTAACAGCACCATCATTATATAAATTATGAACACATTCATAGTTTTTATTCTCTATTTGGATCACAGGACCCAGAGTCCCAGTTTGATTTGTCCCTCACCACCCCATTTTCCTGTAATGCCAAGTGCTAAGCTTACCCTCTGTGGCGTATGAATGGGTGACAGCATATCTAGATCAGTCATGGGAAACTCCAGGCCTTTCCTCCTCAGGTCCTCATAAACAGCAACAACGCCTGTCAGGTCTGGTGTACTACGGAAGGCATCAGCCCAGGACTGGAGAGACAGGAAAAAGATGCCACTTCACAGTATTATAATTTTTGAGCTCTCATTTAAACAACAACAACAGGGATACGTGAATGTCATCACCCCATAAAAGCAGAGAAAAAGGGCATAGTATGGTATCAGAAGCAGAAATCAGTTTCCTGAAAATCTTAGCTTTTGATTATGATTGTGGTGATTATTAAAAAGGCCACCTAACCTATACCTGTATGTCTACAAACAAATGCTTAAAAATGGGTAGTCTATGCCAAGAGTCAGAGTAAGATTTTCAGAGCTGACACTGGAGCTTCAATGTGCTCCACCTATGGCTAATTATGAAAGAAAAAATTAAGCAAAACAACAAATACAGCAGAATGCATTATATAAAATGAGACTGAAAAGTGATTCAAACTGTATAGTATTACCAAAGCTGAAAAATTCCACTTTCCTTGGCAGAGTATTTGGGATGCAATGTTTTATGCATCATCATCATTAATTCTTTTTAGCCTGGAGTATACATAGCCTTGAAAATATGGTAGAGCCCAAGTTTAGGCTCAAAATAATTATAAATGTGTGCATGTATGTGTGGGAGCTATGCCAGGAAGCCTCCAGGTATACTTTACAAAGGCATGTTGGTCAAGGGACTAAAAGACAGAATGGCATCCTGTAATTCCAGGAATTAATTTGACCTCCCCTCTCTTCAATTGCTGTACAGCCATTTGCAAATGCCAGAGGACAAGAGATTTGCCACAACTGTGCTTCCTCTCACAGCTTACCTCAAGCACTCACCTGTATGAGGGTCAACACCTTGTCATGCACAATGGCAGGGGGGTTGTTTTTTGGAAGGATGGTTCGCACTAGCACACCTTCCACGAAGTCCTGGCTAGCAACTAGCACATGGAAGCGGTGACCGCAGTTCTTGACACACGTTTCAAGGACCTGTAGAGCCAAGCAAGATGTCAGTGAGACCACTCTGGGGTTCAAAGCTTTACCCAAAGCTTTGCTTATGAATCCTTCGGGGCCTGTCTTGAGAAGGAGGGGTGCTGTGGAACCGGGCAAGCCTGCGTTCCACACTGAGTCTCTAACTGGGCCAGCCTTGGCTGTGATGATGAGTCCTTGGGTCCATCTCCTCAGGAGGCTTGCATTCTCCATCCAAGAGACTACACATTTCCAAATCTCCTCCCTCAGGATGTGTTTGTCCTCCTTCTCCTTCATTCCCACAGGTGGGGGACTGGGACCCATGGCTGTTCCTGAAATACTTACATCCAGAGCAGGCTCAGACTGGTACTGAGAAACTGGGCTGCAGGTGCAGGCCTGTCCGTTACAACAACAGTTCCGTTATCTGAGTTCGAGCTCTGACCCCCAGCTGGATCAGTCAACTCCCCATCATCCTCAGACTCTGAGCAATCAGTCCCACCAAAACAGTCAGCTTCTTCCAGCACAAGCATGACTGGGAATCAGACAGAGCGCATGCACACCACATCACCGGCACCAATGGGAAGTGGTTGTTTTTCTGCGGCAAAAAGCCCAAGGGCCCACATGGCAGGCAAAGGCCATGGCCTTGACAAATATGTCAATAAGATTGTTGTTTGGCTCTCCAGTGCACTCCCTCTTGCTTCTGACTCAACAGAACATTTATGACATAATTGCTCTAGCCCTTTGGTGCTTTCCCACTACTTAACCCTAGACTTCACATTCTAGCTCAGTGATCACAGCTCTTTCTCTGAGATATCCCTGAGAGACAGCTTGCAGATCGCAACTGCCCTTTGCACGGCTGCTAAAATGAAGCGAGTCCTATTGGAAGGACAGTCTTCTCCTTAATTCCCCTCCCTGACCAACAGACAGAGAGAAGACTGTGTTGCGGGTGGGGGCAAGGTTGGTCCTGCCATTGAAAGGGGGACGTGATACTCACTGTCAAAGCCAGCATGACCTCATGGAAGTTCTTATTCCCTACAATCCTTTTCTTTATAGCTCGAAGGGCATCTTTAGGCCTAAGGGAAGGAAATACAAGATTACAAAAGCACTACTGCAAGAAAAGGGGAAAAAATACCTCGCTGCAATTTGCCATGCAATACATTTTTGGTCAATTTTGTTCGTCAGTCACTGCTTATTTAGAGTCACAGATGCAATCAATCAAGTGAGCTAAACTAGTCCTTTCCCACAGCATCAGCAACAGCAACTGTATGTGTGCAGATTTCATTTGTCTGGAACAAGGAACTGAATGGGATCAATAGCAGCCAGAAGTACAAGAAGCAAAATGAGCACAAACAGAAACATGGAAAAACAGGATGCAGGCAAGACATTTATGAATCTTCCCTAATTATTCCCAGGTGAAATCCTATGATGTTGGCTGGTTTTGAAGCTGAATAAAGATTCATCACTGCAGCATGGATTGGCAACATATGGCTCACAGGCCCCATGTACTCTGCCCAGGCTGTTTTGTAGCTTTAATTGTCATGGCTTCTGTATAGCTTGAAGTGCCTGATCCTGCCTAATCTTGGAAGCTAAGCAGAATTGGGCGACTTAAAACATTGTGAACGTTGGTTATGGGCGGTAAAGAATGTAATGTAATAATAATAATAATGGTGCCACTGAATTTGCTGCTGAAACTTGATGATACTGCAGGAAAAGAAAAAAAAGTGGCATTTTTACTTTAAGCCAACTATGTGGAAAGTGACTCCCAGTGGCCTTCAGGGGATAGTGTGGCCCCTGTCCATAGCCCATCCCAATCTACAACATGCCAGAAAGCAGCAGCTGTTGGGCTAAAACAGAGGAAGGCATAAACAGTCTATGCACAGAAAAATACTGCTTTCAAAGGACAAGATCATGCTGAAATCTTGAGATCATTTACACTGGTATCCTTACAGGTACAACTCTGTGTACACTCCTTCTTGTCATGTTATAGAAATGCACACTATCTTATTGTAACTGTTTTGCTAGTTGTTTTGTTTTTAAATTATGTATGTTAAAGATTTTATACTATATTTCTATTACCTTTGTGGGTTGCAATTTTATGTGATTTGACAGGAGAATGCTTGTTATAAAAATGAAGTAGCCTAGTATGATTGCTATCTTGCAAACTTTTCCCACAGGGCAAGAAGAAGCTCATACGCATAATAATATCTTTGTGCTACTGTTTTGTACCTTTGTATAAGCAGGTAGGTGAGAGCTTAAATGGAATACAATGCAGCACAGAAGATGAAGAGCAGAGCCAGAATAAGCAGAGTCACCTGCAGACTTGCCATGAAGCACTGGATTTTACCTATCATTTAAGGATAGCTGGGAGACACTGATGGAGAAGGGGCACTTTTCTGAAGGCAGCTTCGGACTTGGATGTGATCCTGAACAGGATTACTAGCCATAACATCATTCACCTTTCAATGTGCAAAGCATTTCACGATTGTTATTTCAACACCAACTAGCTTTCTTGCAGCATTTCAAAGGGCTTAGAAATACACAATAACACAAGCCTTTAGCAGACTAGATCACTTTCTCAGAGGCCCTTTTATTTTATTCTGACAACAAATTTAGGCTGGGAGATGCCAAGCAATCTCAAGTTACTAAGCTCACAGCTAAGATAGGATGTGAGTCAGCATTGCCCATGCCCAAGCAAAATATTCCATCAGACTGGACTTACTGAGAATTTGGAGAATTGTGGCCAAGAATGGAATAACAGAGAGGGAGAGGGAGGGAGGGGAAGGGAAAATGTGATGCAAGCAAGGTTGGGCACATGTGGGGAGACAGAAGAGGGGCTTGCAAGGCAGAGTTGAGAGACTGTTGACAAAAAGAAATGATATGGCTTGAGGGTTTATGAGAATGCAGGCATTCCCCAGCTTCGGCATAAGGGAACAGATATAGCCACGTAAACACTGCTTTGAATGCTATGGAATACCACGCCCTAATACATGCTGTTCTAGCTGTTACTGAGGTCACCAGCAAGACCGCAAAAAGCTATTTATGGAGTTCAGCATGGAAGAGTTTGGCATTCCAAAGGTTTCTGGTTGTCTCAAGGCCAATTTGTTCCAGTTATGTGACAATAAAGAGAAAATTGTGAGGGGTGTGTGCGCGCGTGCGCGAACTGGAAACTGTATACTTCTCTCCCTGATTTTACAGTATACCTGAGTGTAGAACCTCACTTGAAACTAGATAAAATTAAGCAGTATGAGCCAGCTGAGATTTCCAGCCTGCTTATCAGTATGAAGATAATTAAAATGTCAAGGAGAATGAAGTGGGAAGTTGGAGGTGTAGAAAGAGAATGGAGAGAGAGAAAGTAAGGGTAACAGGAAGGCTTCTGTTCTGACTGGCATGAGAAAGGGATAAGAAAAATCTTAAATGAAAAAAATGCTAGTAGGTGACCTTTTTGCATCCATGCAAAAAAACCTATGAGCAATAGTCAATAGTGTCTTTGGCAGAATAACAGGTTTTGAGTGGCATATTGGCCTTGCAGTGTTGCCTTCTGAAATGTCAAGGGATCTAGTCCTGGGCTTTTAAAGGCCCAATCCTCAGCAGTTCTAGACAGAAGAACGGTCTATGGCTCCCAACATGCCCTAACCTGTAGGCCTTTTTTCTGTCTAAAGTTGCATAGAATTATGCCCTAATTCTAAGTCCAATAACTTATACTGCCTCCCACTATACAGATCATTTTCTTCCTAATTGGGTGCACCTGAAAATATTCCAGAGGATTTGTGTGCAACACAGAACATGCTCAGGACATATATAGCAAGTGTCCTTATTGTCATGAGCTAGGTTCCCCTGCCCTTGCACATTCAAAAACAAAGCTCTTTCTTGCAAAACATTCTTTGTTGACAAAGGCAGTTTCCAGAAGCACAAACATCCAGAATCTCTGAGCATGCATAGAGCAGTTCATTGAACTCAATCTAGTTCTGACTTCCAGAAACTCTCCTTGGACCCCATCCTTTTGGGAGGGGCCTTCTGGAAATCAGCATACCGCCACTATGCATGCCAATCCTGTAACTGGGCCGCCCGCCTCTGCCAACATTGTGTCATGGGGTCAAGAAGCATACTTGCTTTGCCTATGTCTGAGCAACTGGATATTTTCAGAGGGTTCCTGAACATCTGAGGAGTCTGGCCTGGAGGTAAGTGCCTCTGCTTCTCTCATCTCAGCATCTGCAACTGGCTCACATTCTGAGGCCTCCTCTTGCTCCTGCTTCCCCTGTGAGTCCCAGTCAGAAGGCCTTGGGAATGTGCACCAAGAGCAATTGTCTTTCTTACTCCCAACACTTAGATAGCAGCACTGGCTTCTTACCCTTCCTCTGTCTCATTAATGATGTCGCAGATTTCCATGTTGAGGGCCCAGTCTTCATTCTGCCGGGCGCCATCGGTAGCTTTCTCTGAGGAGGAAGAAGAAAAACAAAAACCACGAGAATAAAGGCATCCCTAAATTGGTTTTTGAATTATGAAAGGCTGATACAGCAGAACTGTTGTTAGATGTAAGCCTGGAAGAGAGGAGGAGGAGGAGGTGGCAGGGGCAGCGGCACTGATCCCAAAATACACCTTCTATTGAAGAACAGCCCCTTTAGGTTGTTAGAATCACAGGCTATCTGTGAGATCATGACATCAATGGGCACTGCCGGCTGCATGTGCATGCACGGGCCAAAGCTCACGGCTGCCTCACCACTGCCCAATGAAACCAGATCCTCCTTGTTCGTGCAGCACAAGTGCTGGGAGCCTCCCAAGCCACTACTGGTCAGAAGTCTCCACCTAAATTCCAGCTAAATTCTAAGTTTCTAGCATTCCAGACTATGGAATGTGCTCCCCAGAGAGGTCCAACTGTATACTCTTTCCAGCACCAGGTAAAGACCTTTTTATTGAACCATCATTTTAATAATTAAGGTTTTTAGATGTTTTAAGATCTTTTTTCCACACTCACATTTTCTACTCTTTTTCTCCTTCCTTCTTTCCCTGGTTTTATGAAATGTTGTTTTATATTGATTTAATAGCTACAGTTTTATCATTGTATTATTGTAATATTTTAAATCATTGTAAGCCACCCCGAGCTGCTCGTCAGAAAGGATGGGATATAAATATTTGATTAAATTAAACTACATTAAATGAAATGCATCAGCTTCTGATTGTGACAGCTGCTACAAGTCTTGCTTAACTGATACTTTTCACAGGTCTTCAACTTCCATCAGCCTGAGCCAGCAGGGCCAAGGGTCAGGTACGGTGGAAGGTGTACTGCAAAACAACCTGGAGGTACCAGGTTGAGGATGGCTGTGTAAGCATGAGAGAGAGAGAATAAGAGTCAGCAACTTCCTTGTTCTTCTGCAGTACACAGAGAATTGTGCCTGTGGGACACTGCAAGGAAGCAACAGATGGCTGGCCGTTAGGAGTGGTGTTGCCATATTCAGAGGCCAATACCTATCTGGGAACATCCAGGAGCATACAACTGCTTAGACACCCTGGTCCCGGGGGAGGCCAATTCAGAAGCAAAAGTATGTACACGTAGTAGGAGGAGGAGTCTTAAGCATTTCCCTGCTATATGGATCCTGTCTCTTGTGGGCCTTGCCAGGAGACAGACTGAGATGGTTCACCTTGGGTAGGCATTCATTAGATGAGTAAGAAATGTGAAATGCACAGGAAAAAAATGAGGATGGAGGGAGTGGAAAAATGCTTCTCCCAAGGATTTTCAGAAAATGGGGGAGAGATTTCGTTTCCTGGATGCTTCCATTCCTCCCACCTTATGTTTTTATATTTCTAGGAGTACCATTACAGGACAGATGGCCACTCTGATTGTTGTACTATTTTTGCTATAATGTATAGAACAGGAACAAAACTAACTTAAGACTATCTCTTGACCTACTCCTCCCCACTAAAAGTAGCACCTATACAATTTGTAGGAGGAGAAATGTGGGAGAAATGAGAGGAGCGAGATTTAACTGTATGGGATGGATAGCAGAACTATGTGGGGGCAAATCTAGCCTTCAGTTCATTGCTGCCCCATTCTGTTAGTTGTTCCTGAGTTTGCCATGCTGTTACACATGGAAAACAATCAACAACAAAGTGTTATTATCAGTTGCCACTGCCTGCACCCTGTAATCAGTTCAGCTTCAACCCTCTAGGGCAAGGGGACTATGTATGTCCAGGAGGGAGAGTACTGCCAGTGTACAAAAGGAAAGTTGATACCAAGTCAGCAGGAAGGAACAGGCCAGGGAAAAGCAGAATTGTGAAAGTAATTCAGTTCATTGTCCACAACAGCATTTACGAGTGGCCAATAGGGCAAGTGGGAGAACCAAGCACACAGGTTAGGGCACCTGGGCATACAGGTTAGGGCACCTAGGCATTCAAGTTAGGATAGTCACTTATTTCCTTGCAACATGGGTGTGTCTTTGACATATATACAAGCAGAATTTCATTGCATCAAGTCTTTCCTAACTGCTCTGTGCGTGGCCAAAAAAACTTGCATGGATGAATTTCTGCAGGCTTAATAAAGGGATGGGGTGGTGGGCCTGCAAATGCTTACTTTTCATTTATTTGTTAAAACATGAGTATATAAATGTCAGTGATTCTCAAGGACAAAACAATGATTTACCATCTGTACAATATAATAGTAAATATGAAAATATTAAAATCAGAAAAAAGCAACAAAACACAGAAGTAAAACATATTTTATAAACCAGCAGAAAAATTCAGTATGGCCAAAATGCTTTCCTAAAAAGGACATTTTTTAACTACACTGTGGAAGTTCATTAGAAAGGATGTGAAATGTGCTTTCTTGGAAGGGTATTTCAGAGCCTAGGCAGTTGCTTTAATTTTATTCTCAAAGCAAATTGAGGTTATTTGATTGAATGAAATAGGATTAGGAATTGTTTGGCTAAGAAAGTCATGAGAAATGACACAAACAGTGCTGGGTGGAACAGGGAAAGGACAGAATAGCAAAGATTCAAGAGCCACAGGGAGAGAAAGGGACCTACATGTTTGAGCAGGCATGCCTTCCTGGAAATGCTTTCTGGAAATGCTGAACAGACATACCTTTCCTTTAAGAATATGCCATCATGAAGATCTTTTCCTTATCATGCAATGGGCTAGAAACATCTGTGGATTCTGTATAAATAGCTGTGAATTCTGTATAAGCATTTGAGGAATACGTGCCTGAAATATACATGCAGTGGTGTTATTTGGAAAAATTACCCACACCACATCAGACTGCAAGTGATGGACTGCACCTTGTCCCTGCTTATACCTCTAGACCTGTGATAAGTAAGGGATTATTCTAGTGCCTTCTTCCAATACAATTTCTTCTGCCTGGATTTTGACAGCAATATTAACCTCTGTACCAATCCAAAGAAAACCAGTCAAGGTTCCAAAATATTTACTTTGCAGAAAGGAATGTAAACAGTCTGTACATACACATTCTGCTGACTGTCTCCAAACAAGGATTTCTTAAAGAAAAAGACCACAGAAACACATTTTGGGCAAATGACTGCAAAACTAGGTAAAAGCTAGTAAAAATAGGTTAGTAAAAAAACTAGCAATGTAATCATAATAATCTACTGTCATGAGATCCAGTTTCACTCTAGCCAACAGCTTTGGAAGGTTAAACAGTTCTCTGTACTTTGATGTGTGTAAGCTGCACACGAATATTAGACTAAAGCTCCATCAAGTATGTGGTTGGGAAGAGAGTGCAATTAGGTCTGAGGATGGAACAAGCAACAACTGAGGGTATACAAGGAAGGTTGCGTATTCAAGCAAAAACAGAAAATTTGAAATGCTCTCAGAATGAAGTATGCCCATTTGCAAATTGATTACCATATGTTTTGAGACTGTTTTAATGAAAGAAAAGATTCAATGGAGGCCACGTTTCCTACCACTGCCCACACTGCGTTTTGCAGTCAGTGTGATACACATGATACAAACAGCAAAGGTTTTAACCTGGAGGCCAGTTTGAGCCAGGGATTCCCTAGTCCAAACTGCACTTTGACCATGAACTCACTAAGGGGCTACAGGCAAGCCAGTATATTTTAGTCTCAGTTTTTCTCCTGTAATACTGATACTAGCCTACCTTACAGGACTGTTGTAAGGATTATTGAGCTACTACATGTGATGCACACTGATTTTGATTTTTCAATGTGCCACATTAATTCTTCTTAATTTATTAAAGAGTGATCTGTGAAGACAGCCTTGGCCTTGGCCTGGAGATGGATAGGAGTGCATGAGTGTCAGGATGGAAACTGTGGTATAGGACACGCTAGGAAATAAAAATGTTGGATAGAGCTCAGTTGCTAACTTGGAAGATAGAAAGGCCTTCATCGAAACTCTGGGAACAAAGTAACTGTTCTTCTCCAAACTTGTTCGCACTGATTGGGTGCCTTGAATCCCAAGGAATGATACAGGCCTGCTATCTCTCAAGCCGTTGACATTCATTTAAAATATAATTGACTGTGCCACATTAAAAGAGGAAAACATGAATGCTGTTACATTATTTTGCTCTGTAATACTTAATAATAAAGGAAAAATAATTAAAAAGTTAGAATACCCCTCTCTTCTAGATCCAAGCAGAACACATCTTCCTATTATTACTTTCTATTCATTAACTTTGGGAACTGCCAGAATGTTTGCACACCTTTTGCAAGACCACTGGAGTTCAGGTAGATGTGGTTGCTGTGTGCAAGAAGAGAACCCATGTGGAAGTAAATAGTTTTCAGCATCTGATAAGAAGCCTCCCTAAATGCATAAATGGAAAAACTTCTTACATAATTCCACTCACGTAGACCTAAAAGAAAGAGATTCTCTCATTCTGATTCTGGATGTGAGATGAGCAGAGAAAGAAAGCAGAAGGGTATTGCCACATGGGATGGCTAAACCTAAAAATAGGCTGGTAGTCAGCAACTGGTGACTCTCTCCCCTACCTGTCAATGACTATGAACAAGAGAAATGGGGAGCACAACTTATGACAATGCAGTGATTGTGACTGTTAAGTTGGCACTGCTTGCTGATCTAAGAAACAGGAGGGTGTATCACATTCTTGAGTCAGAACTACTGACCTCATCTGAATGCAGCTTTTCCCAACGTGTTGGGACTACAGTTCCTAGCCTCCTCCAGCCAGCCATTCTGAGAGTTACAAGGTTGGGGAAGACCATTCTAACCTATTCTACATTCAGTCTTTGTGTGTCAGCATGAGGGTTTTAAAGCGACACTTTAAAGAGCTAGAATTTTAATCTCTCCCAGTGTTGCTGCTTATCCTTTAAGCCCATCAAATGGATTTCACAGTTATGATGTTCAGTATGTTCTGATATTTAAACAAACAAAAATGGGAGGGCAGAAGGAAACATGGGATAGTACTCCTTTGATGAAGTTTTTCAGAAATACAAAGGCTATTCACTGGTCACATGAAAGATCTGGACACTGGCAGCAACTTTGGGAGCTGTAATTAGAACCATCCACATCTCCTGAGATCTAACCCAGGCTGACACGGCATCTGAGCCTTGACTCAACACGCACAAGAGCCTGAATCTTGACCCGCGAGATGCATTCCAAATGGCAGTTTATCAAGCCATTTGGGCCAGAGACTAAGTCCAAGTTGCCAACATGTGCAGTTTCCGGAGAACTTCAAAGCTAGTGCGAAAGGGCGTTAGCCTGCCTCGGGGTGTGGTAACTGGCAATTTAATGCATAGCACTGAAGTATTATGTTTTACTGGCTAGTCAGGTTATTTCAGATTTCAAGGGGATCGAGGACACTCTGAAACAGATGTCTTTACTTGTTGTCGAAGGAAACATGACAGGAAAACTTCAGTGAAGATTCTCAGTGCCATTGACAGCTTAAACACTGAGAAGCTGGTAGGGAAGATCAAGCACTAGGACATGCTATTAATACCTAGCATAGACAGTGTCCATTTTGTAGTTTTAAATCACACTTTAACCCAACTATTCCCTGTGATATTGTATGGAGTATTGTAAACAATGGAATGTATATGCTTCCACTGAATGATTATCAATTGAAGCATATACACTGAATGATTTATCAGTAGATAACTTTATTCCCAGAATTTTAATACTACAATACTTCATTCAGTGTAAATAATTTTTGTCCAACTGATGTTATTAAGAACAAAGGTCCTAATTAGCGGGTTGTTAATACATTTGTCTTGTACCTCAATGACAAGCAAAAGATATATTGGGAACTGCTAAAAGAACTTGGGGGTGATTTGATATGGCTTGGCAAGAAGTTCTTACTTGCAATGTTTAACAAAAGCAGAAACAAATAGGACTCCCTATCTCCACCCTTAAATTAGGTTGCTGAAATGAAGAACCCTTAGGGGAAGCAGGAGTGGATTTTGGAGCTAAAGAACCGTGAGATCTGTTCTAGTCTTGAGAACAAATTCTTGAGCTCAGTAGATGTGCAGAGATCCCCAGCCCTTAATATTAAGGGTACAGAAGCCACACTGTGTAATAATTTTACTTGACTCTGGTTGGTAGATCTCAAGGTTGTAGTAAAATAAAGCAAAGCCATCAAGCCTGATCTGCTCACCCACTTATGCACATTGCCTGCCAATTTTTAAAAGGCTATCTTAGTTAATGACCTCCTAGTACTATTGTTCAGTGTTGCTAATTGTTATAAACTTGAAGAATTAACTAATTAGGAAGAGAACTGTGCCATCTTAAGCTATCTCTTTCTCAGAGCCATTCACCACTTAAAAGTCTACACTGAACAGAAAATGTGTATCTCTACTCAAGCAGGGCCTATAACATGCCAACAATAAGTCTGTTTTAATCCAATAGTCTCCAGATAGTTGATTCTGATTCATTAGGTGGTCATCAGGGCTCTGATGGTGAACTGCCTTACACTGTTTTTCCCTGAACACTGGAGGCCTAGTAAGTGTTAAAGTGCATCTAAGACTAGCCAAAACTGGAGAAAGTATACTGGATTAAGTAGATCCTTGCTCTAAAGGCTGGATTGCGTGCATGTTTGCTTAGTATGTACAAGGAATGTTCCAAGTATATATAAACCAAGGGTGCTGTCAGAGAGAGGACTCCTAATGCTAAAAACTGGAAGGCCCTGTGCAACTTCTTCCTTAAAGGTAAGAAGAAAAAAAGACAAGAAGAAATAGTGGGAGAGCATGGAAGGGCTAGTGGAAGAGCTGGACTCCTTGTACAATTCTGTGAATGAGGCAGTGAGATTGCACCAAAAAACAAAACAAAAAACAAAAATCTTTGTCTAAAAGCACCACAAGTGTGCTAAAGATTTAGGGGAAGGCCTTCTGTGAATCTGTAAAGTTGCCCAGGGCATGATGTAAACAGGAAGGAATTCATTAGCAGAAGCAGCATGTGAATCACTCAGAAAAGCCAATATGCTTTTACATGCACACACAGTTTTATAAGTCACAGCAAGCAGTGTCTCCAGTGTGAGTATGTAGCTTTTCCACTTGTCACCAAAGGGTACAAGTCAGGAAAGGAGAATCCTTTGCATGTCCTCACCTTTAAAAACCATCTATAGCATGCCTCCTATAGTTTCCACTGCTCTAGGAATCAGTTGTTCCTATCTTTTTGTGCAGTGCCAGCACTGGTACCTGATAGCCACAGGTAAGTGCTGGGACCTAGCAGGGCTCAATGTTGATGTCTGCCCTGGGCTGCACGCATTCCACCCTCTGCCTAATGGTAGCTGTGTTGATCAAACAGTACCTTAAAGACTGTCAAAGTTATTACAACATAAGCTTCAGTGGACTGCACCCAACTGAGCAGATGCATAGTGTAAACGTGAGTTAAAAATAAACATACACTAACAGGCTTTGAGAAGGGGGATGATAGCAAACAGAGAGATCAGCGGAAAATGAAACACAAAGTACTGTCAGTGATGATAACCTTGTGTCATAATGAATTTGTTAATTTTTAGAGGCCATAAAACGAGTTTTTCTGAAAAAATGCCCCAACAGCACCTGGTGGCTGAATCTAACCGACATTTGAACTACTGTAGGGTAATACTATGTCAGGTGCCATGTGCGGTATTTAAATAGAAGTTAGATTCAGCTGTCTAGGCTGCTTTGAACACTGCCATGGCCATCATCTAACAGGACTCCATTCTTCTCCTCAACCTCACATGCATTCAGATTTGGCGGTCCCCTGAAAATAACACTGTTCCTAGGGATTTGCGTCTACCAAATCTGAACGACACTTAGGACTGGTCAGCAACTAGTTGCCTTGGAGGGTTGCTTGGAGGAGAAAATGAAAGGTAAGCAGCCATTAACTCAACCTCAACACATTCTACAGGCCAGCCAAGAAATTTGGTTGAGCCACAGACTACTTCTTTGACACCTCGTTTATTGGCTGTAGTTTGGCATGCAACTGAAACGATTACTGGCACTCTCCGCAGGGGGCTGGGGGTTGTTGACAAGTACTGTAAGCCAGCCTTCCTCAACTCAGTGTCTTCTTGATGTGTTGGGCTCCAGCTCTGATCATCCCAATGCAGCACGGACATTGAGCAAGGGTAGGCAAGCTAGTGTCTGCCAGAGGTTTTGAACTGTAATACTTGACCATTAGCTGTACTGGCTGTGGTTTATGGGAGCTGTAGTCCCAAAGCACTGAAAGGCACTAATTTGCCTACCCCCGTCTTCGTCCTACACTTCTGGAGGGCATCAGATTGGGAAACTGTTGCTTTAGACTCACCCTTTTCAGACAGACCCCTTTGAAAAAACGACTGGAATGAGAAGTAATCTGTGGGTCGTCCTTTTTCAAGTGGGCGTGACGCACACTCACCCACTTGAGAGGATGCGGTCCCTTTAAATACGGAAACTTTCTCCTTTACTCGAGACCCCTCACCACACAGGATTGGCTCAGGAGGGCTGTCTCAAGAGCCCGCCTCCTTAGTCGCTCCCCATTGACCACAAACCAATGTCCATCAAAAGACCTTCGCATTGTCATAGGCTTCCAGAACCCTAAACCCCACCTTCATGACCATAAGCTCCGCCCACCCTGAAGTTGCTCCCCCCAACTCGCCTGAGGTTAAAAAACAAGCTCGGTAAAAAACCGAAAAGAGATCCAGACACTTGCAGGTTAGGTAGAACGAGGCGCACGCCAGATACGACGGGCTTACCGATACGCTGCCCCACAGGAGAACTGAACGGGTTGCCCAGGAGAAACTCCATCATCGCCACTGCCACAGCTCAGCAGAGATCAGCTGACACAGTTGCGAGGGCGCATCACGTGACATCCTCGGGCTCGCGGGGCGTGTCCCTGGCTCTTCTCCTCCCCCTCCCTGCTCCCCACCTACGTTTGTGTGTACGTGCGATCTAAGCGCCGCCCCCTTAGAACCGAAGTGAATGGAGCAGGCCGTGGCTGCTGCCCGTCACAGACCCCACCTTGCAGAAGAGCCCGTTGACCTGCGACGGCAGCAGCGATGCATGGCGTCATAGCAGACTACAAAGGACTTGTCAACACAATAGCTGCTGACAAGGGAAGCGACAGCGGAGTCTCTTTCCCAAATTAAAGGGTTCCGAAACTGCAGTCCGCTCTTAAGGAGACCCTTGGCACGTTCCAGATACGCCCCTCGTGAAATGCTCCGCTTCTTTCGCAATAGCCCCCCCATTTTTCCCCTCTTTGTGTGGAGGTGGATTTTTGCAGCGCTTGTAGAGAAGAGATGGAGCGTTTTCTTAGCTGCTTTTCCCCACCCAGACTCGAGGGACGCAGGAGAAAAACAACCTCAGCCCTAGCCAAAACAGTTGCATTTGACTGTTGCAAACTACATGGGAGCCAATCTTAGATAAAGAACAGCATACAAATAGGAGCTGTAAATACAGTAAGCATCTGTGGCCTGGTGCAACCGGAGAGAAAGACATTTTGTTGGGCTGACTCAACAGGGCGAAGGGCAGGTTAATTTGCAAACACATTTTTGACAAGTGATACATTTCACATTTTCTAAGAAGCTTTTAATTTCTTCCAGTCTGATACACAACAAAATTAGTTTGTTGGAACAGAACTTAATGTTTTGAGAGAAACTTTTGGAACTTCCCCAACACAATACAAGCAAAACATTCAAGCATCACACCAGAATAACCTTCAGCTTTTACAAGATAGAGGCAAGCTCTTTGTATTCTACTGTTCAAAACTTTAGGGCTGTTTATTGTCCCCCTGCCTATTTAACTTATAGGCAGAGTACATCATGCAAAAGGCCAGGCTAGATGAATCAGGAAGGAATGCTGTCCATGGGGTCGTGATGCATCAGGCACAACTTCGTGACTAAACAACATCAAAAACACTGTTAGACTATGGAAGGTATCAAGTGCTTCCCAAAAGAGCAACAGGCACTCAGAGCACAGAACTCTGTCTGGAATATAGGATTTGTTTAATCAGCATCTCCCTCTCAGCAACAAGCCCTTAAATGTCAACTTAACCACTGCTTCAGTAATCTCTGTCTCAAGCCAACTATCACGGCTGTGTACCTACCAAAGCAATGGCATTTGCAGTGTTTGCTTGACCAGAAAAGAAATTTCTTTTTGCATAAGCAGTTACTTGGCAGCAAACAGTAAATTCAACTATTCGAATTCAACTGACACAAAAGTCAAATATCGGAATAGGGCAACCTCATCAAGGCACTTTCATCTAAGATTCAGCAATAATTTCATTTACTGTCTCTCAATTTCATTTAACACTGAAAAAGAAAGTGATCCCCACCCCTTCAAGTCTCTCAACCAGGAAGCGGTCTGGAATTTTGAAACATCTGGAAAAAAGCAGGCTTAAGTTTTACAACTACCTCAAATATTTGTGTCAAAATAGCATAAGCAGGTTTCTGGCTGAGGCTGTTGAAATTTTGCAGCATCATGCTTGATTGAGAAAGTGTATATACTTCTATGACATTCATTGCAAAAGTGTTCAGAACATTTAGATATCTAAATATCCTGCTCAGATCTTAGTGTGGCCCACATTTGGGTTATTTGCTATGACTAGCTGCTGAAGGAACATGGAAAGGTGCTGTTACATGCATGTTCTGCTTGTAGGTTCCTTGTGAGTTGGGCATTGTGTGTATAGAACTTGGACTAGACAGATGCTTGGTCTGGTACATCACAGCTTGAATGTTCTAATGACTAATCACCAAGCTTATGAGAGACCTGCACACAAACCCAATTATAATCAGGGCCTTCTGATAGTACTGCAATCTAAATAAAACCTGTTGTAAAATTAAGTGAAAACAAAAGTATGGCTATAGATTTTTGAATAATTCTCACTGAGGCAAGTAATAAGTATCAGACCTGGAAGAAAAATATACTGGGATGTTGTTAGATTGAACACCAAACAAACAAACAAACAAAATTTCTTAATATTAAACATCCTGTAGATAAGTTACTGGGCAAAATACAAAAGTGAAATGAAATAAAGATTCAAGTTTCAAGTTTTTAAAAAAGTTTATCTACATTAGTAAAACATTTATACAATGCAATTTGGAACATATGATAGGATATAACACATGTAAAAATACTAAGAGGGTTTAAGTCCAAAGCTATCCAGTAGTAAATATGACAAATTATAGATTATACAAATGTGTACAAATCTTAAATAGAAGTACATCCGTACCATGGTGTGTTTAAAAACTTCAAGTTTGCAATAGTGCAGATGGTAAAACTGAAGCAGATCTGCTTCTAATGTTAAATCCAAGATCAACATATTGATTGGAATTTAAGTAAAATATTATCACTCCTCTAAAAATAAAGTGTTTTCCCTCCAGTGACAGAAGGTTCCTTCATCCTGCTGGGGCTTCCATGCCAAACTGAGGAGGAAGGTGATTTTTGCCATTACTTCATCCCCATAAGCCACCTGCTCCTGCTTTTCTGAGGGTTCCTAATCACTTTTATCATGGGAGGTAAGAGGGGAGCAGATTGGACTACAAAAGTTGCCTTTGTCCCCATTTCACTGATGAAAGCCCTCACTGAATCAAAGAGCATTCTGACAATGAAGGGACACCACTGGATACAAACAGTAATTGTTGAGATCCAAGAGACTAAACAAGAATTCTCTTCACCTCTTGAATGCTGCTCCATCCAGATAAAAAAGTTTGGACTGATTAGGCTCTGTCGAAACCAAGGCATTAACCACAAGCACATGGGCTTATCTACAGAATAGCACCAACTGAACGAGCCTGTCATCCTTAGGTTCAACTAGGGGGAACTAGTGATAGAAGGGAGAATGTCTTTATCTACATGTATGAGATACGTGGGTGCATGTGTGGGGGTATGGCTTGGAGGAAGTGATGGAAGCAGTTTTCATACACAGAAATACTGCTTTAAACCTCAAATCAGCTTAAGAAATCTGTTAAGTGCTTGGAAAAATCAGTGCACAGAGTTTAGTCCTATAGATAACGTTATCCTGCACTTCTGATACTTCACTATTTCTAAAAGAGGCAAGGAAACTTTGGACAAAATGTAAAGTTTTCCATTTTTGTTTCTATTGATCACCAACAGCACATGCTGGGTGTGCATGGGTTACATTTGAAATATGCAGCCTTTGCTTAGGGCAAAACATGGGTTATACAAGGGTTAAACAAGCCTTGTAAAATCCAGGGTCTGTTTTTGGTTTAAATGATCTGTGGTGTGTCATTTCAATCTGGTTTATGCCTGATACAACAGATGGAAGTTCAGTTACAGTAGGGTATCCAGACGGTAGTAGCTAGCTCATGTTTTCTATACATTGTTGGTAGAAGGATTTTGTTTAATTACAGCTATGTACAGGAATATACAATATAAATTAATCTACCACAAATAAAATATATGAAAATGCAAATACGTGTGTTAAAAAAGCCACAGTTGGGCCTATGGAAGATATCAAGTGCTTCCCAAAAGAGCGACAGGCACTCAGAGCACAGAACTCTGTCTGGAATATAGGATTTGTTTAATCTGCATCTCCCTCTCAGCAACAAGCCCTTAAATGTCAACTTAACCAATGCATCAACGATATATACATCAGCACCATGAGGACTATCAGAATACTGCTGGTGATAAGCTTAATTTATGGAACAAAGAGGATCCAAGCCCCATTTTTTATGGTGACACCATTAATATGTTTACTGGGGGACCACGGTTTAGCTAAAACTAGAAGATGCCTAGATGGGATGTACAGATTCCATAACAGCCCCCTTTCCATCTTTTGCCATGTAAACGGCACAGTCCACAGAGTAGTTAGTCAGTAGAGAAGCAGTGCATAGCTCCCGATGTTTTCTACTCATTCACTTTAAACAGTCCTTTTTCTCTATAACATTTTGAGGACTCATTCACCATGCTCAAATCTGTAGCTAGTCCTCCCATGTACACATGGGACAATTAGTAGAGGGGTCTCCAGATGCTACTGGATCAAAGGCATCAGGACAAACACACTCAGGTATTGTTTTCAATACCACACAATTTGACTCTTCAACCAATAACCTTTTCCATCTAACTGGCTTCCACTGGAGAAGAAAAAAAAACCAATAGCTAAAATATTAGTGGTGTTGTGTCCATGACAATTGCATTCCCACAAGGTGGCTTGACTTCTCCAAGAAAACCTTATTAAGGGTGCAATCCTGTGCATATTTAGAGAAAAGCCCTACTGTGCCTCGCATTCCCCAGCAAGCAATGCTGGGAGTCACAAGGCTTTTTTTTCTGTCACAGGATTACACTCGAATGCCTTTTTTCTTCCATGTTAAGGCTGATGCATCAATTTTTTTCCACTTCTAATTATAATGAAATATTTAGATTAGGGAAAACATTCTCTAATTCTCACAAATGAAGTTCAGAATTTTCCATAAAGTCACATCAAATAGTTACAATTCTATGTTATAGGTCACAGGTAGAAAACTTATGCGGGGACAGTTTAGTGCATATGTACACACACCAGTCATATGGTAGCAGGTCATTTCCCATGATCCTTTTCCTGTCAGAGTCCAGGCATTATGTAGGCAATATTGTCTAGTGTATTTGACTGGAAAGAAAAATACTAAAATTAATATTACACAACAAATGTAATATCTGTAATGTATATTAACATAGAAGAACGAATACATGAGCAAAAAAATACAACACCTAACATAACAAAGGTAGGCAACAGTGTTTTTGCAAGCTGCTTGTTTCCTCTAGAGAGAGACAAGAACCTGCATATCCTTCAGAGGCATCAGGGAATATGTTTATTTGCCCCAGCCTTCTGCAACTGGGATCAAGTCAATAAAAGATGCTGCTGAGAACTGCCCAGAGGGCTTTGGCTGTTGGGTGGTATAGAAATGAAATGAATTAAAAACAAAATGAAATGCATGGCTTTTAGCATGAACATCTAGCACCCTCAGTTTTGCTTCTCAACTGCATACATGTTTCCACAGGAGCGCAATCAAAATCCTTTGGCTGGACTTTGTCGACAGGCCAAAATTTGTGCTTACCACAATTCTGCCTCTCCCTTTCAGTATACCCTTATAAATGACCCCCCCCCCCCAAAGTTGCTCCTATGTTTAATGTGTCTTACTAAGGTAAACATGGCCTAAAACTAAGTTCTACTGATCTTGGTGGAATCTACTTCTGCACAAATGAAAGGTCAAGGGACCATTTTCTCATGCTGAATTAACTTCACGGGGCAACTGAGCCAGTGTGGTGCAGTGGTTAAGAGCGTGGGACTGGGACTCAGACAATCTGGGTTCTACATCTGCTTCGCCATAGAGCCAACTGGGTGACTTTGGGCCAGTCACAGACTCTCAGCCCAACCTTTCTCACATGGTTGTTGCTGTGGGAATTAGATTGATAGGAGGAGGAGAAGAATCTTGTAAGTTGCTTTGAGTTTGGTATAGGAAAAAAGTGGGATATAAATCTAGTAAAAGAATGAAAGAAATGTTTTTGTGGCAGATATGAACAGATAAGCCTTTTTGAAAAACTTTGGATCAGCTGGCAGGTATTGATAAGTTTATATGATTTTCTGTCTTGACTTCTCAATACTATTTGCCAGCTAAGGCTGAATGGCAATATTTGCAATTGCAGCATTTGTTAGCAAGTAGGCTTGTTCCAGAGCCTTATACAGCATCAGAGTCTTAATTGTTATTGACAACACTTGTTGAGGCAAGCCAAGCAAAACAATTCTACAATCTGTGTTTATAAATATCTCTTACTGGAGAATACACAGTATTCTAAGCAGGAATGGAATAGAGAGCTGGATTTCTTCATTTTGCCTTATCAGTGGATCACCATTTTGACTTCTGTGAATCTTAGGCTATGCCTTATTCAAAAAAAATCCTTTGTTTCCTGGCTATTGGTTGCTATGATATTTCTTTAATATGGACCTGTTGCAATAATGTAGTATCTGCCATAAGGGCAGTGAGGAGGAACAGTGTCTTTCCTCCTGTACAAAATATTGTGCTCCGATTATTGGAAAAGAGCAATTATTCCTAAAACAGAATTTTAATAAGAAAGACTCTGAGCTGCATATGAAATACAAACTGAGCATCAACTGCACAATATACCTATTGAATGGAAAGGCCAGGATGACTGTCTCAGGTTCTGAGTCACGAGGTAGCAAAAAAAACTCAAGCCAAATGTTGAACTTTCAAGAAATGCAGCATATCAACTCTAGTGAAAGAAGACACTGATGCGACATATATTATGGGAAAGTAGTACATAAAGAACAAGTGAATGCATGTTGCAACAGTTACAAATCATACCTGAATTAAGAAAGGGGCCCTGGGGAAGCTGTAAGATGTGGCAACAGAAACTGACATTCAAAACATTACCATGGAACTTACCAAGACATGTTTGGGGCAGCCATTTAGTTCAGGTAGCTGGGATGTCAGGCATGCTAAAGGTCCTAGGGCACAGATAATTGAATCCAGGAGTACTGATAAGCTTCCTGATACAGCCACCATCCCCTGGGAAGCAAAGGAGTGGGGTAAAGAACAAGAAAGTTTAGCTAAGCAGTCTCCAAGTCAATGTATTTTCTTTGCCTTAGAAACAGCACATATTCTCTGAAGAGGTGGCCTTCTCTTTACATCCCAGGTCAGTGTTCCCCAAATTAGCTGTAGGAATTTCCAGGATTATGGGAGAAGCAGTCCAAGAAATCTAGAAGGCACCAGGTTAGGGATGACTGGCAAAGGAATTAGGATATTCTACTGTGTAGTTCCCCAAAGTGTCTGAACGGCCACACACTCCTGTTTTGACCCCCATTAGCAGGTAATGTCAATTTAGAAATCTTGCTCCACTGATCCTTCTATTCTCCCTATTGCTTTTTCATTACATACCATTCATTTTTAGATTATAAGCTGCTGGGCAGGAATTGTCTACTTTTATTGATTTGTATGCTCTTCCATTTGGGCTGAGGAATGGGATACAAATACTCTAAATAAATATACAATGCCCATGATTTGAGCAGAATTCTTGCATGTAGGGCAGGGGCGAGCTGCATCCGATGCAGCCTGCTTCTGCACCTCCCACTCTTTCTCTCACCTTTTCTAGTCCATTCTGCAAGCAGTACTGCCCTGCTAGATATGTAGGCAAACTGAAAAGGCAGATTTATCAGAGTGTTGCTGTTCCCCAACCTGGTTGCATTCCAGATATTTTGGCTTTTAACTGCCAGGATTCTTGCTCACTGGCTCGGACTAATGGGAGTTGAAGTCCAAAATACAGCGAGTTGGGGGAAGCTGCTATGGATGCTGCTGCAGGGGAAAGGGGGCACACAACTGGAAATTCCCCTTCTCACACTCAACTGCTCCTGGTTGGAGCAAGAAGTGCAACACAGTGGTGAAAATCCATCTCTTCTCTAATCACCATCCAGCACATTCTCCCACATGCCAGCCATTGCTCTGAATTGCGACGGCGCTGCCTCCCCCCAAATAGTAGGCTGTTGCCTACACTGAGCATAACTGCTTTCTTGGGCAGGTGTATTCAAGAGTACAAAGGATCCTGCTTCCTCTTTGGAAAGCCTTTCATTCTTGTACTTATGCAATAACCTTTCTTCATCGGGGAACTCTGATTATTTATTATTTATTTAAAACTTTTCTAGACCATCATTTACACTAGTGAATCTCATGATGGTTTGCAGCAATTACAATAAAACTATTGCAAGGCACTATCTAAGAGCCCTGCTTGTTCAGCGCTAGAGAGCACCCTGCTTCTCACAGTGGCTAACCAGGTGCCTTTGTGAGGCCCAAGTGCTGGTGGCAAAACCTTCTTCCATAACTTCCTCAGAACCCAGAAGTCTCAAACAACCATCTTGACTGAAAGCCTCAACTCACTCCCTTTTGAAATCATCAAATCTAGTGTCCAGTACCACATCTTGTAGCAAAAGAAAAATCTCTTTTGTTTACTGTACTTTTAAAGTACCCAATAATTAAATTTCGTGAAGCCCCATGCAATGTATTAAAATGTAAGATACAGACATTAAAGCAAATAATAAAACCAGCATATCAGAAAAGAAGTAGCAAAATTAAAGAACTCTGGCACACCAACGAAACCCTGCAACAGAATACAGTTCTTAAAATGCCTGAGACAATTTTAAAAAGTCTTCATGTAGAGCTGAGAAGACCATAACACAGGCCCTAGGTAAACCTTTCTGCACAGTGCTTTCCTCGAAAATGGTGCCACCACAAGAGAGGCCTTCTTCCTTGAAGTCACCTTCTCTTGCCTCATGGGGCCATGGGCACTTGGAGGAGGTCCCCAAATAATCATGGCTGGGTAGACAGATATAGGAGAAGTTCCTTCAGATAATTTGGCTTGAAGCCATTTAGAGATTTTAAGTTAAAACCATTACTTTAAATTGGGCCTGAAAACAGATTGGTAGCCAGTGCAGATGCATAAGTACTAGTATAGTACAATTACATTGGCCATTCATAAATAGCAGTCTAAGCCATCCTCCTTTGGACTTATTAAAATTTCTAGACCTTTCTCAAAGATTGTAACAATCCCAACAAGAGGTTCTCAGAATATGAACAACTCACAAGGCCATCTCACTGTAGGTATAGTGTCACCATTGGTCTATCAGCTGGGGCTGATAAGAGGTGTTCTGAGCCATCAAGGCCCCCTGTGCCTATAGCAATAGTGATGAATCCATAGCTGAACACTAGTTTCCTAACCAAAGAGAATGCATGCAAACTAGGTCATATAAACAAAACCACAGTCAAAAACTAAACTGAACTGAACTGGGAGGAAAAAAAATAAGAGGAAATACGTCGTAGACGCATGCTATTCAGGTACCAAATGCTCCTAGCAGATGACTGTAACATCAATTTCAATGAGCTGTTCTCTCCCAACTACTTCAGAATATAAAAGCTTTTCACTCTTAATGGAGATACTTTTGAACCTATTTGAATAGCTGCCAAAAATCCATTTGAACATTTTAATTTAATATCATTACCAGTAATGCAGGGTTCAGCACAGGCAGCCATTCCAGAATGATGACATAAAGGCTGCGGCTAGTTTGTGTAATAGACTGACAATTTTTATCTTCCTCCAACACAGTTACTGCTAAGCAAGAGCTGGTGTTACACTTATTATGGAATATATTTATTCTGCTTTTTAAAAGGTTCTTATATCTAAATCTTGGTTCAGTTGAAAATCTTGGCATAGGATTAACATCCTTGTTTGAGTTGTTTGAAGTTTTTAAAAGTAAGTTAACTGCAGCCATAAAGGTTATACATTTAATTTTGATGAAGTATTGAACATCTAATAAAGAGCTTTAAGAGCAGGGTGGGCTCTAGCAGCCTTTCCCTATCTGATGTTTTCAATGTGTGTTGAAGTATAATTCCAAGTGTGCCAGGAATTGTAGCCTAACACTTCTAGAGAGTACCAAAGTGAAGAAAGTTGAGTAAAGCCTGCACAAAGTTTAAACGAGTAACTGGAATGACCAGAATCAAGAAAGTGTGCCTGTATTGGAATAGGATATATACACTAATCCTTTAAAAAACTATTTTACTATGTATTAAGGTTTTTAACTATTTTGGTGTAAAGGACAAACATTTAGAATAAAAAAATTCTGGACCCTGGAATTTATTTTGAGGACCAAACCTGAATTGAGTTCCTCCACATAACAATCCAGTCCTGACTACTACAAGCTACAAGTATTCTTCATTTCAGCAGTTTAATTTAGGGTGAGCTGTCATGTTGTTCAACAACCCAGAGCCAGAAATCCTTGCTTAGCTACTGCACATCACCCAGATCTAATGGCAGGCCCAGATTTACCTTTTCCCAGTCCAGCTTCAAAGCAGCAAAAGTGACAGGGGCTGGTGTATGCACCCCACTCTAGTGACACTGGATGTGGTATGCAGCACAAACTTACACAATTCAGGTCATTCCCATTACTCTTTTGAAATCTGAGCATGCCTATAGCACAGCTTTCACCAACTTGGTGCTCTTCAGAAGTGTTGGACTACAATTCCTAGCATGATAGGAGTTATATCTCAGCACACATGGAGGCCATGTCAAGGGAGAAAGCTGCCACAGCAGGTTAAACCCTTTGTTGTTGCTCCATGCCATCAAGTTGTCTCTGGCTTACACTGACCCTCTGACTAAACGGCCTCCAAAGCATCCTCCCCTTGACAGCCCTGATCAACCTTGTTACCTCAAGACTGGCTTCCTTGATGGTACTGACCCATCTCATATTTGGTCTTCCTCTCCTCCTTTGCCTTCAGCTTGCCTCAGCATTATCGTCTTTTCCAATGCGCCTTGCCTTCTCATGATGACTAAGCAAGGTATGCAAAAATTTCACAAGTTGTATTTCACTGCTGACAGCGAAGCTGATTAATTCTTCTGTAGTCATGATTTTTGTTTTCTTCATGTTCAGCTGCAATCCTGGGTTTGCGCCTTCTTTCACTTTCATCAGGAGCTGTTTCAATTCTTTGCCATTTCCTGGCAGTAACATGATATTATATGCGTATCTTAAATTATTGACATATCTTCTGCCAATTTTCACTCCTTCCTCTGATCCTAAGCCAGTTTTCCTCATATGTTCTGGGTAGAGACTGAGCAAACAGGGAGATAAAATATACCCTTGGATGATACCCTTGTCTATAGGAAACCATTCTGCTTCTCCATTTCCTGTCCTAACAGTAGTTTTTTGCCCATGATACAGGTTACGCATCAGGTCAATCAAGTACTAAGGTACACTCATTTCTTTCAGAACCAGTCATAGCTTCTTATGATCCATAAAGCCGTCATTGCTCTAAAGCATACAGATCTTCTTCGGATATTCTTTGGTGTACTCCAGTAGACAACACGTATTCGTGATATGATCTCAAGTGTCTCTTCCTTCTCAGAACCCAGCTTGAATGACACACATTTCTCACTCCATACAGGGTAACATTATTTGTCACAATATGTCAAGCATCGCTTTGCTTGCCTAGGAAATTAGTGCAATGGTCCTATAGTTGCTACACACCTTACATCTCCTTTCTTGGGGACTAGAAAGTATGTGGAATGTTTCCAGTCAGTAGGCCAACATTTTGTTTCCCTTATTTGTTGGCATACTCTTGTTAGGATTCAGTCTCTGCAGCTTGGAATAGTTTTATAGGTACCCTATCTACTCTGGGTGCTTTATTCCTTCCAAGTGCTTTCAGAGGCTTTCACTCCGCTTTCTAATATGAAGGTTCTTCCTCACAGGATTCCTCTTCAAAGAAGTCTCATCTTTTCATTTCTTCTGCATAGTCTTTCCATCTTTATTTTATCCTGGTCAGATAGTATGTTCCTCTGTTGGTCTTTCAACATTCCTAATCTAGGTCTGAATTTTCCTTTGATTTCTTGGATCTTATTGCTTTCATCTACTTTTTTGTACTTGCCGGTGTAAAAGTTGGTTTTTCTCTATGCGATAGCCACTGAAAAGTTGTATTCAGGATTCTGATCCTATTTCTGACACCTTTTATTCCTCCTTTGATTTTAGCAATTGAGTGGGCTTATGTTTTCTTTTTCCTACAGGAATGGTATTTTTGCATTCGTCCTTAATAATGTATCTGGTTTCAGTCCAAAGTTGTTCTGGCTCATTGTCAACTGAATTCAGTAATACAAATCTGTCCTTTATGTGAACTTTACATTCCTCAGGAACATTATTAAATGGTATATGGCCACTATGCTTCTTTTAGTGATATTTTTACTCTGAATTTAGTTCATGAGCACTACTATAATCTGATCACTTGCAGCCTTCACAGAATTCTGTGAGTCTTTTGTGTGCTTTGCTTCTTACTCCAGGCCAAACTCTCCCACAACTGATTCTACTTTTTTCCTAATTGTTGCATTCTATTCCCGATTATCAGCATGTCCTGTTTTAGTGTGCTATCGATTTCTTCTTGGACATCTGTGTAAAATTTTTCAATTTATTCTTCTTCGGCCTCTGTTGTTGGAGCTTAGATTTGAATGATGGCTATGCTGATAAGTTTTCTGAGAGATGACTTGGTTGGACTTTGCACTGTAGCCCGTATTGTCTCAACATTACAGCTGCTCCATTTCTTCTGAGTTTGTCATTTCCAAGGTAAAACAACTTTGTTCTTGACTGAAAATATCCCATTCCACCCAATATCCCATTTAGTTCTCTTACACCAAGTACTGTGATGTTTAATCTTTGCATTTCTTGCTTTACAGATTTATATTTCTCATGGTTCATGTAACACTTGTGTGTGTTGTGCAGCCCTGGAGTTTCACCTCTTAGCATGTCAGCCACTAGACTTTTTTCAGCTTTGAGTCAAAATAGTGACTCAGCTATTTGTGTTTGTCCTTTGCTTTTTCCTAATAGCTGTGAGTTCCTTCTGACCTGGGAGCCTTGTCGTCTGGCACTAGTTCTTGTTTCATTTTGGACTGTTTCATCATAGAGTTCAAAAGGTAAGAATATTCAGCAGTGATCTACCATTGCGTAGGACTGTGCAGAAGGTAGGTTTAATTTGAGCAGCACTGGCATAGTTTATGAAAGGTCCCCTGCCTATGTCTCCTTTGTCTACTGCTGCTGTCCCTCAGGAATTTCTCTGCCCCATCACTATTAGAGATATTCATTCTCTTCTGCTGATGTGATGGTTACTCCTTAAGAGGGGGATGCCTATAGTCTGGTGTTTCAGCTTTGACCATTCTACACTGGGTGACCCTGCTACGAGGCCAGCCTAGTGAGACAGTCTGACTTCCTTGCAACATTGCTCTTGGCTTCTCTGACATGCTCAAACACCCTCACCATGTCAAGGTGTGCACTAGGGGTGGTGGAGGAGGTTTAAAATCCTGCATTAGTCTTACTTAGAACAGACTTGAAGAAATGAATGTGGCTTTAAGCCACAACTAATGAAAAGCTCCATTAAGTTCAATAGGTAAAATCTAAGTAGGACTACTGTTGGCTTGAACAGTGCATCGTGTAAAAATGAAAACCTGAAGATTTTTGGACTTACTTCTGTCTCCTGAAGCCTGTGGCCAATAAGACTTAGAGATTCTCCCAGTAATTGTAGATGTGCAGCTACATCAATGGGATCTGTTTCAGGAACTTTGACTGGCGATGAAGATAATATTACAGTGCTAGATGGAGACTTCTTATGGGGTGAAAGCACACCTGTTAGAGAAGCTGGAAATAAACCACAACACTTTGATGTTTACCTTTCTTTTACAACTTGTACTGTAAATACATATAGGACTGGAGAGGTGGGCATCCATTATATATCTCAACCATGATCTAATGTATCACCTTGAGCAACAAATGTGACAGGTACTAAGTGGAATAAGAGATATCGGGTTGTCACTAATATAACTGCTTTATCCAAATTTCCTCTCTCCTCTTATTCAGGCACATTCCACAAAACAAATGATTTGCATCAATGGCACAATTCACACTGCTGCAGATGAATGTTTTGCTAGCCAATACTATTCAGATAAAGGTCAAATCAGCACGACAGATAATGGGCACATTCACATGTCGCAGCAAGCCACCCTGTGAATAACTCACAGTGGGCTGGCTGTTTGCAGAGCTACCCACAATGTTCCAAACAGATAATTGTCTCTTCTCCCTGTAGCAATTGGGGTTTTTTTTACCCTTTTATTTCTGGAAACAGCTTCTCCAAAATTCCAAGTGAAATAGTAGAGGGACTATGCAGTTCCTCTCCACCCGTTTTTAAAAAGCACAAGCTATTTATTGAAATACTTAATATTAGTTGGTCTTAGCACAAGCATGGAAGAGCTTTCTTGTGGGGGTCTGAAAGAAGTCTTGGCTTGACCAAGCCCTGGATGATGTTTGCTATCAAAGAAGAGAGTGGGCAAACAAGCTTATTTCTTGCTCTGTGCTCTCTTCACAGCTGTCAGAATGTTGAAGCTGTCAGGGGAAAGCAAAGAAGTGTGGGCAAAAGGGCGTGGCAAGTAATTATCCCCTTTGCAACAAGATTATTCAAGTTTGCTTGGCTGCACCTTTTCCAAAATTCTGAGCTTGCAGCAGCTTAGTGTCAGGAAGTACTTAGGCCACAGAACAGGGAAGGGGAATGTGTACCTCTCCAAATATTGCTGGATTGCAATTCCCATCATTCTGTGGCCATTGTGTATGCTGGTGAGAGCTCACAGGAGTTGCAGTACAAAACATTTAAAACACGTGGTGTCTTAGAATCTGAATTTCAAGGTTCACAAGCAACTGAAATAAACTAAACTTGCTCCAGTTTGTCAGTTTTCCATGTGCTTTTATGCACCTTGATTGTACAGATCAATTCTGGTACATTGGAATGTTTTAAAGAAAACACACAGACTCGAAATTGTTGTTGACCCATGTGACACTATAATGGAATATGAAAACCACCTTGGCAGAACCTAAGAACTAGTGGAGTACGGAAGTTACCTTTCAGTTTTGGGGCACCCTCTGATGAGGTTGCTTTCCTCTTCACTGTTGTAGCTTCTGCTTTATTCTGTTTGTGTTGCAAATACTGAGCCTTCTGCTTCCAAACCTGCAGAGAACAGGGAAATAAAACTTGTCTTAAGAATTGTTAGCTATCCAACAACTTGCATGGGACGACTATGCAGCAACATGTTAAGCCAAACAATTGTGCTATGATTGAAACTAACAAATTCATCATCAAGGGTGGCGAGAGGAGTATTCCATACACAAACTAAGCTGTGGGAAAGAATGAATACAGAAATTGTAGTGCAACATCCTCAGGATCAAACCAAGTATCTCCATCTCTCTCTCTATAGATAGACAGACAGACAGTTTTTTAAGATTAGATAATTACCAGCTTATCTTTTTCTGGAAGTTGTTTCCAAACTTCTGCCAGCTTTTTGCTCAGTTCACCAAAATCTAGCAGGAAATTGGAGAGGGAAAACCAGAGATTCAGACTTCCATGAGGAATTTGATCCATGCACATTTTGTGAATAGCAAAAAAAAAAAAAAAAAAAAAAAAAAAACTCACTATATGCATATATGCAAAATGGTTCTCATATAACCATTGCAAAAATATCATAGTGAGGCCTAGATTGAGCTTGCTGGCATCTTTCCAACATGTTGTGTTGTATGCTCTTATGAATGAAAGTTGAAATGGATAGATGAAGAAATTCTATGTTTGATGATCTGTCAGCTTCATGAAAGACTCATAATCTCTTGCAAGTTGGCTTTATGCAGATCTACAATTCTTAAGGTAGTTCCCCATAAAACTTAAGAAGATATTTTTTACTTGTTCCCCATCAGTATTTGGGACATGAGGGCTGCTCCATCACAGCAGTCAGCATTACATCGACATTCCATCATGTAACAAAGGATGGGGAAGGAAATCTGCAGCACCAGTGATGTGTGAAAGGGGAAGAACCATGAAGATGTGGTATGTCACACATTTGAACAATAAGAGAAAGAGGGAGAATTAATTTGCTATGTGAGCATCTATGAGTGCACACTCAGGTACAGCATTTTAAGTAAACACAGGCAGCCAATTAGTTGGAACTGGCTGTAACATACTTAGAACAGGAATCTGCAGTATGCAATTCATGCCATGAATTTGTTCACTGAGGTTACCATACCAAGGTCCTATTGAGAGTGACCTGATTCAGATGACACAACCATCTGCCATAGTTTGTTATAGGTGGGTTGTCATGTTGTGCAAACACAGCTTGAGTGACCCAGGATGGGTTGTTTTTTCCAAGCAATTTCACCTGAGAGCCCTTGGGCTGTTCTAGAGTTGTTGTTATCAATGGTAGGTTGTCATGTTACCAGACTTAAGAGGGCATGACCCACCAAGGATGAACCTGAACAGCCAGTGAGCTGCTTGGCAAGAGTAGCAAAAACACTTTGCCACAGTTGACAAGCGGCTACCAGGTGAGTCCCAGTGACAAACTGCCGAAGTGTCTAAGGAGCCCTTTAGGGCTGCCGAGAGCTTTCCTCTGTACGCCGTGGCCACAAGCAGTCATCCTTGCCGGTAGCTTGACAGGAGACCTTTCAAGATGCTGGTGTGAGACCCTTCAACCAGGAGGGGAGAACAACGTTCCTGGAAGCTGGAGAAGTCTAGTGTTGAGGTGCTGGCAAGGATCCAGGCATCTACTCCTGGCCAAGGTGGCCACTTCTCCGTAGCCAAGCTGATTGGGCACCCTACCTCCTCCCCAGGAGTAGACTTCCCAGGCAGGAGGCAGAAACTGGTAATCAGTTTGGTACTGCTGTTCCATGCTCAAGGAGGAGCAACCTGTCTCCTTCCACCTCCTGCCTACGACCCACTTGGTAATGCTGCTCCATGCTTGAAGTCCAACTACTGTGTAGACTGGGCATCTTGCCTCATGCTCCATGAGAAACAGGAGATGGGGGTGCCCGGCTGGCTCCCCTCTCCTCCCTGTTGTGTTTCAGGGCATGAGTCATGTTTATGCTACAGAGACAAAGTGTTTTTCTTTTTTCATGCCCCTGCTGCTAACAGGGTTCATGCTCCGAAATGCAAAGTGGTCAACTTCCAGCTGCAGCTGAGATAACATGGAGGGGACTGCCCAATACAAGGTGGTAGCAGGCAACCCCCTGCATATCATCCCAGCCAAGGCTGGAAGCTGACCCCATTCTGCTTCAGGACACGAGCCCTGTTTGTGCAATGGGAACTCTGGCTGCTGTGGTGAGCTGAATCAGTTCTCAACTGTGGCTGTCAGAGAGAGGAGACTAGGTCCTCCTTACAATGTCCCCTGGGATCTCATCTGGAGGAACAGAGAAGAATGGGGCAAAGTACCTAGTATGAGCCTAATCGTCTGCTAGACTCATTGTGGGTACTTCACAGAACAATTGACCCACACTGTAGCTTATTGTGTGGACAAGTCATCATGTCATGGCCACGCAGCTATTGCTTTTTGGTATGTATGTATGACCATAACCAGATCAACTGTGGACAAGACATGGCAAACGGGGGGAAAAAAACCGCATTTACAAAGATTTAATTGCAGGTAGAGCCAACCTAAAATCTAAATCATTCTTCACATCTGCTATACAAGTTTCACACTAGTCTGCAAGACAATGCTAACACAGTTCTGAATCAAGGCACAGATACAACTTTGTTGCCAAAAGAAAAAAAATGAAGAAATGGTCAAAAGAAGAAATGACAGCAGTGTGAAAAACCTCATTTATTAGACAGTTCAAAATTACTAGACTGCATTGTGGTGGTGGAAACAGCCAATCCTACTTGTAAGAATTCAGTTTTTACTTTAATTTTGTTGCCCAAAAAACAAGAACTGGGTACACCTGCCGGCCTCCTTTCTGGCATTCCCAGTGTAAATGCCAATATGTCAGTTAGCAAGAAGGGTGTTAACTATTTTTGATTTATGATATAATCTATAATTGCCCAGATCTAAGTGACCTGAGGACTTGGTGGTCTGATAGTCAGACATTTATCAGGTAGGTGGACTGCAGATTTTTTAAAGATAAAATTTTCTTTCTAGTGCACAGGGAACAGTTAACCTGATCTAGAGAGCTTCTGCTATTGGATAGCCTAGAAATGAATAAATAAAAGATTCTTCATGGCCCGGAAGCCATTTAATCAGTGCCATCTGGAACTCTCCAAACAATGCAACTTTCCAAACTTTAAATTTGGAAAGTCAGTACTATTATTCTGACCATGTCCTTTGGACAAGCTTTCTTTATAACTTACCTGGGAGTATGGTACACTGAATGCAATGAGACTTTCTTCTAAGTAGACATGCATGGGATTGCACTGTTAATCTATTTCTATCGGCTTCTTTGTTCAAATGCCTTTTGTTTATTTAGGAGCATTGCCTAAATCTGTCAGAATTGGCATCCATGATTTAACAAAGCAACTGCCTACACTACATGGTTTTGCAGTTAGTTGAAAATGGTGGTGTGCCCAGTCAGGAAGGTGAACTCGGAACCACAGCTGAGACAGATGGGGGTCTTGTCAGAGTTAAATAATTTCCCCCCTACAGTGTGAACATTTGTCTTGGGGCAACCCAAGCCCTGTAATTACTGCAGTACATTTTGTCTGAGGCTGAGGTTTAAACCTGTTTGTTACTACAGTTTAAAATACAGCAACTAGATTCTTAACAGGGGCTAGAAGAATGGCACATGTCTCTCCAATGTTGAAACTACACTTATCTAAGTCCATTTCCAAGCAGAATTCCAAGTGCTGATTTTAACTGTTGAAGCTGTAAGGCTAACATGTTCAATGTGCTTACATGAGAACAAGGATCAGTGAATGCAGTGGCACCTATTTCTGAGCACAGATGGCTAGCATTACACCATAAATGACTTAGGACCTGGCTAAGGTCCTGCTGACTGCCCCTTCCACAGCAGCTTGACTATATATTAAAATCAGTTTTTGAGGTTCATTACTGGATCCCATTGCTGCTGAAATCAATGCAAGATAGCCCTTTCAGTAGTGGGACCCTGGTTTTGGAATTTTCTCATCTGATGCAGAGTCTAACTCTGCTTTGGCTTCCAGTATTTTTTTGTAAATTTCTTCAGCTTTTTAGGTTTGAATTTTTCTCTCCTTTCCTTTCTGGTTATGCTATTTGCTTGTATCATTTTACTATAGCATATATTATTCCTACGGTTTTTAATTCTGTTGAAAGCTACTCACAGAATCCTCTAGAGCAGGGGTCTCAAACTC